TTTTTACTTCGGCGCCCCACGTTTTTCATCGCTTATAGTAGAGTGATCGCTTGCATTATTGTGATGTATAGCATTTATTTTCTACTTTTTAGTTCAATCAGAAAACGTGGGTTTTTTAAAACTTTTTTAATGATTATTATTACTTGATTTCTCCGTCTAGCGTTTATTGTCCATCACGGGTCCAAACGTGCGAACAAAATTATAAGCACTTTTACCGAACCTATTTGTTTCAAACTTGGCATGTTGGTCAAATCCAGATGACTATGCAATGTGACATAAACATTGACATATTCAGTGTTTCTCGCAGGCGTCTATCCGCACTGTTGTAGGCTACAGTTTTGGAATGGTATACATAGATACATACAAATGTTGTATACATATATACATACACATGTTGTATACATACAGATTCTCTATGAATGAGTTGTTGCGCCATCTCTCCAAAAATAGTTCTCGTCGTATTTGATATTTAAAGAACCTCTAACTAAGCGAGTGTTCTGGGGTGTTGAAAAAAGATCATACACCAGGCTCTTTAGATCAGACCACGCCACGTTTATAGGGAGACAACCATAGTGGGGTGGTCAATTTAGGAACAGATGACAAGCCTGGGTTTAATTAGCCAATCACTGTTGCGTTAACAAAGTGTAAGTAGAGAGAGAGAGAGAGGTGGCGTTATGCTGGTTGAGACAAAGGCGGGACAACTCGTTTACTTTGTGCTGTAGCGTCATTGATTAGCTGGCAACCAGTGTCCACGTTGACTAGAGGGGCTCTCACATTCTACAGCGGGGACCCTTTTGTTGGTCTGCTCAAGGAGGCAGATAGCCGTACCTAGTTGGTCTAATCCTAATGACAAAATGTGCCCCATAGGTTTCTGTCGTGTGTCGTCAAGGGTAATGACTAGAACACACGTTAAGCTTGGTAATATAAACTCAGTCTGTACAAACCACACACATACCCCATTCTATCTATACTACATTTGAGTTTTTAGATGAACCGGCATCGTGTTATTGTAAGGGGGGGGGGGGTGTTACACCAGGCAGCACATACCCTATTTACGCCACACCAGTGTAAGACATGGCTGCTCTTGGCCACACGGAGTAGGAAATGTTATTTCAAAGACGAGCACCGTTTAAGAAACGGACACATTTACTGAAAATATTTTTGAAATCAAAAGAAAACTGTTCCATAAAGACACTTCTAAGAACACAAACCCAAACATAACAGCAATACGTGAACACAAACTGAAATGTTTAACCTTTAACTAAAACTTGACCACAAGTAACGGCTATATGAGAACACAAACTGAAATGTTTAGCTAAAACTTGACCAAAAGTAACGGCCATATGAGAAGACAAGCTGAAATCTTTAGCTAACTTGACCACAAGTAACGGCCATATAAGAAGACAAATTGAAATGTTTAACTAAAACTTGACCACAAGTAACGGCCGTATCACATTATTAGAAGTGACGCAACCTCCGAGATTTGCGACCTTCGACCTTTCCCCGATCCTCTTCCCGAGTAGACAGGGCAGCAGACGACCTAAGCCGCGGTGCAGAACTACCATTCAAAACGGTTAGACGTACCATCCCAGCAAACATATTACTCATAAAACGATGAAAGCTACGCAAGCTAAATCTTATCCATGGAGGTAGTATGTTTATGCGAACAGTGAAGAAATTTATTTTATTCAAGTTTAGCGCCCCCCCCCCCCCCCCCCCATGACCGCCGATGTGAGGCTGAGTAGCCCATCTATTACAATTTGTAAGGACGCCCGCTTCAAAAAGCTGCAGTACAAAGAAAATGTAAACAGTCAAAAACAGACGTGAACTCTATCTGACAAGCCAACGAGAGGCTGGATATAAATAGACTGAAGGGGGAAGAACTCGGGTTTCTCAATGAAATATCTCCGATTTGTGTGTGCTAAAGACCGTTTAGCAGCGGAAACCTAATTCTGCAGGTAAACGTTGGAAGGGTTGAGATCGGCGGCTTACAAGCTTTAGTTTTAACGGGAGGTTTTTTTTATTTTTTTTTTTTACAGAAAGCCAGGCTAATCACCACGCTAGTGCTTATTTCGGCCAACGATAGAAGAAATACGCAAGGTGCTTATATCACTTCACATCCTGTCGAGAAAATAAACCCAGTAATTATTTCCTCGACAGGATGTGAGTAGATCTAAACACCTTGTATATTTACATCTATATATCAAACGATACTTATTTGTTTTTGTTCTGATATAATACATTATTTTATTAATAATAAGATATAACGCGTAAAAAAAAAACAAGCTACCGTTATATTAAAAAAAAAAAACTATGCATGCCTATAAATAGAAGCTAAATAAAGAAAACCTGGACCAGATGTGAAGGGTATGAGCTAGAGGGGAGGTGTGGCCTAGTGATGTCGGAGGTGTGGACTAGTGATGGGGGAGGTGTGGCCTAGTGCTGGGGGAGGTGTGGGCTAGTGCTGTGGGAGGTGTGGCCTAGTGCTGGGGAGGTGTGGACTTGTGCTAGGGGAGGTGTGGCCTAGTGCTAGGGGAGGTGTGGCCTAGTGCTGGGGGAGGTGTGGACTTGTGCTAGGGGAGGTGTGGCCTAGTGCTAGGGGAGGTGTGGCCTAGTGCTGGGGGAGGTGTGGACTTGTGCTATGGGAGGTGTGGACTTGTGCTAGGGGAGGTGTGGACTTGTGCTAGGGGAGGTGTGGGCTAGTGCTGGGGGAGGTCTGGCCTAGTGCTGGGGGAGGTGTGGACTTGTGCTAGGCGAGGTGTGGACTTGTGCTAGGGGAGATGTGGACTTGTGCTAGGGGAGGTGTGGACTTGTGCTAGAAGTGGTCGAAATTTCGCTCGACAGTTTTGATCCATGACGGACGAAGAATTAAGCAGACAGAGGAAGCAAGTTAAATAGAAGCTTGTAAAAATGCCCTGCCTTTAGTTTGTTTCATACATCATGTTTTATGCAGTGGCGTAGCTACCGTAAAGCTAACGTAAGCAAGGCATAGGGGCCCAAGGCAAATAGGGGCCCTTTTTCGAAAGTTTGAGGGGGGTTCAAATCGAAAGTCTGAGGGGGGGGGGGGCAAATCGAAAGTCTGAGGGGTCGGGGTGCAAATCGAAAGTTTGTCCCCGGTCGCAGGGAAGGGTCGCTACGCCTCTGAGGGGCCACTAACACTTTTTGCATAGGGGCCCAAAAATCCTAGCTACGCCACTGGTTTTATGTGATACATGCCCAGTTGTTAGCTTGTTTCATACATCTTATTGTTGTGTTATTTTATCGTCGTTAATTACTGTTCCTATGTTGTTTTTAAAACGGATTTAGTTCGTTTTTTTCATTTAAAACTAGAACCATTTCACACTGAGAGATTCTTAGATAACATGTGGACAAATAATAATTTCATATTGAGAAATTTTATGAACAAAATTACACATTGAAAAATGAGATTATCAGAATTGATGAAAAAAAAAACAACCCTTTTTACATGAAAAGTGTTATTGTCAGATATGTTTTAAAAAAAAAATCTTTTCACATTGAGAAATGTGATTCTAAAATTTGATTCCTCTCTCCTTGATGGCCATAACTCAGGAAAAGCTTTTTACTCGAATTGCCTCCCCTGTTTTTGTAGAGTGCTCCCCCTGCTCTCCTGTCAGGGCTAGATCTGGTTTTAATGGCACGTAGAAGTTGCGCTCGGCTTTTTCTACTCTCAGCTCATTGACAAGCGTTACTCACAGTTCAATTTCCATTTAGCTTTTATTTGCCAATTTGGCAATAAAAGCACAGTTAGCGTTAGTTGCCAGATTTTTCAATCCATCAAGTTTAGAAAACTTTTATTTCTTTTCTCTTTTCTACATTTTAGACTTGAATGGTAAAAAATATAAAACGAAGTAAATTGGCCTAATTAAGTTTTAAAAAAACAATTAGTACTATATTAATTATTTCCAGTCTTAATGCACTGACCATATTTGAATGCATCTTGGCTATAAAATCTGTGAACTTTTTTTGTGAATACTAGTTTCCACGAACCCCACAAACTGAATGCTACATTCTATTATAGGAGAAAACTACTATTAGAAACACGATTGGGTTAAAATTAAAAATCCACCTAATTAGCAGGGGAAGTAACTGGGCATCTGTAAAATTATTTTATTATGTTTCTCACTTTGTTCAACTAAAATCGTCATCTCATATAATGTTCATCAACATCATCTTCCCATGTTAATGATCTTTTGATGTCACTAAAATAATCACATCATTTTTTTAACCAACATCTTCCACCTTCATTATGTTACTTCACAAACCCATTACTAAGATCAGCAAAAAATGTTACACTTCTAACATCATCCAAGGATGTTTAGTCTTATCATCACATTTAATGAAGTCAATTCATGTTCACGCATTTAAATATGTTTCCTAAATTAATCCAATGATGTTCAATAAAATCATCACTGAAGTTCACTATTATCATTTATGATGTTCACTAAAAATCGTAAATGATGGTTCTTAAAATAACTCAAGGATGTGTACAAAGATGATAACTGATGTTCACTACAATCATCAATGATGTTCACTACAATCATCAATGATGTTCACTAATAATGTTTAAAATCATCAGTGTTGTTCACTACAATCATCAGTGATGTTCACTACAATCATCAATGATGTTCACTACAATCATCAATGATGTTCACTAATAATGTTTAAAATCATCAGTGGTGCTCACTACAATCATCAATGATGTTCACTACAATCATCAATGATGTTCACTAATAATGTTTAAAATCATCAGTGATGTTCACTACAATCATCAATAATATTCACTACATTCATCAGTGATGTTCACTACAATCATCAATAATGTTCACTACATTCATCAGTGATGTTCACTACATTCATCAGTGTTGTTCACTAAAATCATCAGTGATGTTCACTATATTCATCAGTGATGTTCACTACAATCATCAATAATGTTCACTACAATCATCAGTGATGTTCACCAAGATGTTGTGATGTTTCAGGTCACTGGAGCAGCCTGGAGCAGCTACAAGAACCAAGTTCTGATGAGGAGTTCTTTGATGCACAAGGTAAAAAATGGTAGTCTCAACAGGGACCTAATGGTAGTTATTTTTGTTATACCACAATGGATCTAATGTTAGTTTTTTTGGTATTGCCACCAGGGACCTAATGTTCGTTTTTTTTTTTTGGTATTGCCACCAGGGACCTAATGTTAGTTTTTTGGTACTCCATCAGGGACCTAATGTTAGTTTTTCTTGGTGTTATACATCACCAACCATTGTTCATGTACCCCTGTTATAGATCACCAACCTTGGTTCATAGGCTAATTCTTGTTCAACTATGTGTATAATCCAACTATTAGTTTGCTACTACTTCATCTACTGCCAGCTGTATCCTAATGTTAGCTCTAGCCCGACTGTCCAGTGATTAATGAGGGTATGGTTAACCAATGTGAGCAGAAGGTTGTTTATAGCCAGGTTTTTCTCCCCAGAAGATGTCCATGGGCAGGTGAGTTTTGACGGAGAACAGTCGCACCTGCTGCGGAGCTCCTCCATGGAGTACATGCACAATGTTGATGACAACGCTGACACTCACAGCTACACGTCCTGTTTCACAGGGGATGGTAGGTCGTTTTTTTACTTGGGGTGGCATGTCAGTGTAATGTCACTAGGCAAAGCATGTCACAAGGGATGTCATGTCGGTGTCATGTCACTAGGCATGGCATGTCACTAAGGGATATCATGTCAGTATGTCATATCACAAGGGATGTCATGTCAGTGTGTCATGTCACCAAGGGATGTCATGTCAGTGTGTCATGTCACTAAAGAATATCATGTCAGTGTGTCATGTCACAAGGGGTGTCATGTCAGTATGTCATGTCACTAAGGGATGTCATGTCAGTATGTCATGTCATTAAGGGATGTCATGTCAGTTTGTCATGTCACAAGGGATGTCATGTCAGTATGTCATGTCACAAGGGATGTCATGTCAGTATGTCATGTCACAAGGGGTGTCATGTCAGAATTTATGAATTTATGTCAGAAGGGATGTCATGTCACAAGGGATCTAATGTCATGTCATGTCAGTGTGTCATGTCACTAGGTATAACGTCACTTTTACTATATATATAAGCATCAGTTTGAGTCCCTGCTAATTTTATTTCCTTGAATCAGAGCCACAGTTTGACAAGAGAGTGGAAGAGTTCCGCCAGATGTACAGCCATGATGGATCTATCCCAGCAGACCTCTCCCCGCCACCATCAGCTTCTTCCTGCCGCACCCACATCCTGTTTCTGGTCCTGCATGGTGGTAGGTGGTCTAAAGCTGTTGCAGCTGGTCTAAAGCTGTTTCAGCTGGTCTAAAGCTGTTTCAGCTGGGCTGTTGAAACATCTTACATTTGTTGTTTAACAACCTGGACACATTTTTTTAATATAACTTCAACTTTTTGTTTACAGAAAAATACAATAAATCAAATTGTGTGTCATGTATATGATATTGTTTTGTAAATCACTAATTAAAGCTGTAATTAATGCTAAATTTAGCGTCTTCCACTTCCAGGCAACATCCTGGACTCTAGCCAGGATGGGATCTCTAAGAGACGCGACCTGACCAACCTGCGAGCGACCTTTGACAACGTCATCTTGGCCCACTACCAGTCAGCCTATCAGCACATCAAGTTTAGACTGGTCTCCTGCCCCTATCTGTGTAAGGAAACCCTCTCTTTGCTAGCCAGGTTTGTTCTCACTTGCATTTTTATGGTAAACATTCAAGTAACTTTTGATTTGATCCACCATTAGAATTTTTTTCTTTACTAGTTCATCTCCATTTAACAAATTTTTTCCTCACCAGTTTATCACCCTTTAAATTTTTTTCTCCTCTAGTTTATCTCCCTTTAATATTTTCTCATTCCGCTTATCTCCCTCTAATATTTTCTCATTCAGCTTATCTCCCTTTAATATTTTCTCATTCAGCTTATCTCCCTTTAATATTTTCTCATTCAGCTTATCTCCCTTTAATATTTTTTCATTCAGCTTATCTCCCTTTAATAATTTCTCATTCAGCTTATCTCCCTTTAATATTTCCTAATTCAGCTTATCTCCCTTTAATGCCGAGCGTGCTGGAGGAAGTCTTGACTCCAGCCTGGCCAGGAACCAGAACTTCATCCCACTGGGTGCTATCCCCTTGCTGGCCACGTCAAGCTCGGAGTATCAGGAGCACGTCAACACCATGGTGACCTCAGCCAACCAGGTGTACCACGACTTCCTGCGCTCAGATGACGGCCTCGGGTTCAGTGGACAGGTGGGTTCAGTGGACAGGTGGGTTGCAGGTGGGTTCAGTGGACAGGTGGGTTCAGTGGACAGGTGGGTTCAGTGGACAGGTGGGTTCAGTGGACAGGTGGGTTCAGTGGACAGGTGGGTTCAGTGGACAGGTGGGTTCAGTGGACAGGTGTGTTGACAGGTGGGTGCAGTGGACAGGTGGGTTCAGTGGACAGGTGGGTTCAGTGGACAGGTGTGTTGACAGGTGGGTGCAGTGGACAGGTGGGTTCAGTGGACAGGTGGGTTGCAGCAGCCCTTGTTAACTGTGTCAGTGAAACATAGCCAAGAATGATACAATATTATTGAATGGCTGAGTAGAGTGTTATGCTTTCCTATTATTTAGTTTAAGAAAATTGATGCTTTCAGCTATCACGTGGGTCATATCTTTTAGTAGTTGCAATTAAACTGATCTTACCGTAACTCTAAATCTAATTGTAGTCAGGCTAATCTAGAAAAGTGTTGATAGTAATGATACTTAGTAATTATTTTTATTCTTGCCCAAGTTTACAGATAGATTCATTATCTCAAGTAAATTACTTCCCACAGCTTAAAAAAAAAAATGGAATGGAAAAAATTCTGTAGTGTCTGCTTTGGTTGGATTATCACTTGTTTATTTTTTATGTTGACCTTACAAGTTTAGCCCAAAAAAAATTATATGAGTTAAATGTCTGAACCTTGTGTGCAGATGCTAAACTAGCCCCACTTGTAATGTATGTCTTGATGTTCCCCCCCCCAGGTCTGTCTGCTGGCAGACGCCACAGGATCCCTCCTGGCCTACGACGCCCTGACCAGCGGCTCCTCCTTCATGCGAGGAGGGTCTCGCTACGGCAGCCATGAAAGTGTTGAGAGCAGCGCCATCTGTGTGGAGCAGCGCTGTCCCAGCATCAACAGCCACAAGCGGGAGCTGAGCCTCAGTGACCCCACCATCAACCAGAACCTCACTGCACCCAAACGCGCCGAGCGCAGCAAGAGCGAAATTGTTCAGCCTGAAGCCGCAGAGATTAACCACCCATTAGGGAAGGAGGAGCTGACCGCGTCTATCTCAGGTCAAGGGTCATCCAGGCACTCATCCCGACACAACTCCGGACACCTGTGTACGTCAGGTGAGGGTAAGGACAAGGATGGGTCGCGACGGACCAGCAGTGGCAGCCATTACGACGGTGGCCTGGCCAAGTTTGACTTTGACGTCAGTGACTTCTTCATGTGTGGGGCGCCACTGGGCATTGTGCTGGCCTTCAGGAAGCTGCATCGACAGGATGAGGTGACAAGTAGGTTGGATAGTTTTGTTGGATCTACATTGTGTTGGATCTACATTGTGTTGGCTCAACATTTTGTTGGATCTACATTGTGTTGGATCTACATTTTGTTGGATCTACATTTTGTTGGATCTACATTTTGTTGGATCTACATTTTGTTGGATCTACATTTTGTTGGATCTACATTTTGTCGGATCTACATTTTGTTGGATCTACATTTTGTTGGATCTACATTTTGTTGGATCTACATTTTGTTGGATCTTCATTTTGTTGGATCTACATTTTGTTGGATCTATATTTTGTTGGATCTACATTTTGTAGGATCTACATTTTGTTGGATATACATTTTGTTGGATCTACATTTTGTTGGATCATGTTGTATACTCTGTTTTGCATCATTTTGTTTCAATAAACATTAGAAAAAATGTTTTTAGTGGACAACTGTATCATGAAAATGTGTTAGGCAATCTTAAATATGCCACCCACCACCTCCCCCCCCCCTCCCTCACACCATGACACATGTTGTAACCAACCATCTTTCCCCCAGCACTCAGACCTGCGTGTCATCAGGTCTACAACCTGTTCCACTCCAGCGACCCCACCGCCGTGCGCCTAGAGCCACTCTTGCATGAAGGCTTTTCTCACATCTCACCCGTCAGTGTGTGCCGTTATTCCAAGTTTCCGCTGGGGGACGGGGAACCTGTTCATGTGGGTAAGTCAAACTGGAACCTGTTCATGTGGGTAAGTCAAGTGGGGAACCTGTTCATGTGGGTAAGTCAAGTGGGGAACCTGTTCATGTGGGTAAGTCAAGTGGGGAACCTGTTCATGTGGGTAAGTCAAACTGGAACCTGTTCATGTGGGTAAGTCAAGTGGGGAACCTGTTCATGTGGGTAAGTCAAGTGGGGAACCTGTTCATGTGGGTAAGTCAAATGGGGAACCTGTTCATGTGGGTAAGTCAAATGGGGAACCTGTTCATGTGGGTAAGTCTAGTGGGGAACCTGTTCATGTGGGTAAGTCAAGTGGAGAACCTGTTCATGTGGGTAAGTCAAGTGGGGAACCTGTTCATGTGGGTAAGTCAAGTGGGGAACCTGTTCATGTGGGTAAGTCAAGTGGGGAACCTGTTCATGTGGGTAAGTCAAGTGGGGAACATGTTCATGTGGGTAAGTCAAGTGGGGAACCTGTTCATGTGGGTAAGTCAAATGGGGAACCTGTTCATGTGGGTAAGTCAAATGGGGAACCTGTTCATGTGGGTAAGTCAAATGGGGAACCTGTTCATGTGGATAAGTCAAACGGGGAACCTGTTCATGTGGGTAAGTCAAGTGGGGAACCTGTTCATGTGGGTAAGTCAAGTGGGGAACCTGTTCATGTGGGTAAGTCAAGTGGGGAACCTGTTCATGTGGGTAAGTCAAACGGGGAACCTGTTCATGTGGGTAAGTCAAATGGGGAACCTGTTCATGTGGGTAAGTCAAGTGGGGAACCTGTTCATGTGGGTAAGTCAGGTGGGGAATATGTTCATGTGGGTAAGTCAAGTGGGGAACCTGTTCATGTGAGTAAGTCAAATGGGGAACCTGTTCATGTGGGTAAGTCAGGCTCCTTTTTAAAAGCTTGATAATGAGCCAACACTAGGAAATATAAACTTTAGATTTTATTTTTCCTAAAATTTAAAGGATCAGAACAAAATATTTTCAATTGAATTGCCTTCATGTTAAAAGTACTAACTATAGTTGCTTAAAATGTTTTGAAATATATAAAAAATCATTTAATTTTTATAATTGTTTCATGAGTTAAATATAATTTTAATTATTATGGCACAATTTAGACCAAATTTGATAATTGTGTCATAATTTATTGAAAATCATTTAATTGTTTAATGATTTAGACCAAGTTTATGTAATTGTGTCATGATTTAGACAATTTTTTTTTAAACTTCTACAGTTGAGACCATACAGAAACATTTAAAAGTTTTCACCTCTGAATCTCGTGAGTCTCGTGTCTCAACGTCAGAGGCTCCACGTCTGCTGCAGCGTCAGAACAGTTTGTCCAGCGTGACGAGTACATCCAGCGGTCTGGGGGAGAATACAGTCAGCAGCATCACAAGCGGTCAGTCTTGTGTGGTGTGTTGTGGGGGTGTGGGGTACAATGTGGGGGGTGGGGGGGGGAGAATAGTCAGCAGCATCACAAGCGGTCAGTCTGGTTTCTGTTGTGTGGGGTGGTGTGGGGTACAATGTGGGGGGGGGGGGAGAATAGTCAGCAGCATCACAAGCGGTCAGTCTGGTTTCTGTTGTGTGGGGTGGTGTGGGGTACAATGTGGGGGGGGGGGGAGAATAGTCAGCAGCATCACAAGCGGTCAGTCTGGTTTCTGTTGTGTGGGGTGGTGTGGGGTACAATGTGGGGGGGGGGGGAGAATACAGTTAGCAGCATCACAAGTCTGGTTTTTGTTGTGTGGGGGTGGTGTGAGGTACAATACAGGGGGGGGGGTCAGCAGCATCACAAGTGGTCAGTCTTGTTACTACTGGGAGGGGGGTGTTTTTGTAATGTATTTGTTGTAAGGGTTTGGTGGTGAGTCAGTAGTGCTAAAGGGGATAAGCTATATCTATGATAAGAAAATCACAGGATCTGATTTTAAAATTCAAAAATTTAATTATCTATTTGAAAATAATAAAATTATTAATTATTAATTAACTATAAATGAACAAATGTGATTAAATCTGACAAATTGTTCCACCAGTGACCAGTGCCTGGTGGGGTGTGAAGAGGATGGACTATGTCCTGTACTGTCCTGATGCCCTTCACTCATTCCCTACCAATGCCCTCCCCCACCTCTTCCACTCCAGTTTCTGGGAGTCTACAGATGTTGTAGCCTTCATTCTCAGACAGGTAGGTTGTAGGTTTCATCCTGACAGGTAGGTTGTTGCCTCATCCTCAGACAGGTAGGTTGTAGGTTTCATAAAGTAGGTTGTAGCCTTCATAAAGTAGGTTGTAGCCTTCATCCTGAGACAGGTAGGTTGTAGGTTTCATCCTGACAGGTAGGTTGTTGCCTCATCCTCAGACAGGTAGGTTGTAGGTTTCATCCTGACAGGTAGGTTGTTGCCTCATCCTCAGACAGGTAGGTTGTAGGTTTCATAAAGTAGGTTGTAGCCTTCATAAAGTAGGTTGTAGCCTTCATCCTCAGACAGGTAGGTTGTAGGTTTCATCCTGACAGGTAGGTTGTTGCCTCATCCTCAGACAGGTAGGTTGTAGGTTTCATAAAGTAGGTTGTAGCCTTCATAAAGTAGGTTGTAGCCTTCATCCTCAGACAGGTAGGTTGTAGGTTTCATCCTCAGACAGGTAGGTTGTAGGTTTCATCCTCAGACAGGTAGGTTGTAGCCTTCATCCTCAGACTGGTAGGTTGTAGGTTTCATCCTGAGACAGGTAGGTTGTAGGTTTCATAAAGTAGGTTGTAGCCTTCATAAAGTAGGTTGTAGCCTTCATCCTCAGACAGGTAGGTTGTAGGTTTCATCCTGAGACAGGTAGGTTGTAGGTTTCATCCTGAGACAGGTAGGTTGTAGCCTTCATCCTCAGACTGGTAGGTTGTAGGTTTCATCCTGAGACAGGTAGGTTGTAGCCTTCATCCTGAGACAGGTAGGTTGTAGGTTTCATCCTGAGACAGGTAGGTTGTAGCCTTCATCCTGAGACAGGTAGGTTGTAGGTTTCATAAAGTAGGTTGTAGCCTTCATCCTCAGACAGGTAGGTTGTAGCCTTCATCCTGAGACAGGTAGGTTGTAGGTTTCATAAAGTAGGTTGTAGCCTTCATCCTCAGACAGGTAGGTTGTAGCCTTCATCCTGAGACAGGTAGGTTGTAGGTTTCATCCTGAGACAGGTAGGTTGTAGGTTTCATCCTGAGACAGGTAGGTTGTAGGTTTCATCCTGAGACAGGTAGGTTGTAGCCTTCATAAAGTAGGTTGTAGCCTTCATAAAGTAGGTTGTAGCCTTCATCCTGAGACAGGTAGGTTGTAGGTTTCATCCTGAGACAGGTAGGTTGTAGGTTTCATAAAGTAGGTTGTAGCCTTCATCCTCAGACAGGTAGGTTGTAGCCTTCATCCTGAGACAGGTAGGTTGTAGCCTTCATCCTCAGACTGGTAGGTTGTAGGTTTCATCCTGAGACAGGTAGGTTGTAGGTTTCATCCTGAGACAGGTAGGTTGTAGCCTTCATAAAGTAGGTTGTAGCCTTCATAAAGTAGGTTGTAGCCTTCATCCTGAGACAGGTAGGTTGTAGGTTTCATCCTGAGACAGGTAGGTTGTAGCCTTCATAAAGTAGGTTGTAGCCTTCATAAAGTAGGTTGTAGCCTTCATAAAGTAGGTTGTAGCCTTCATCCTGAGACAGGTAGGTTGTAGGTTTCATCCTGAGACAGGTAGGTTGTAGCCTTCATCCTCAGACTGGTAGGTTGTAGGTTTCATCCTGAGACAGGTAGGTTGTAGCCTTCATCCTCAGACTGGTAGGTTGTAGGTTTCATCCTGAGACAGGTAGGTTGTAGGTTTCATCCTGAGACAGGTAGGTTGTAGCCTTCATAAAGTAGGTTGTAGCCTTCATCCTGAGACAGGTAGGTTGTAGGTTTCATCCTGAGACAGGTAGGTTGTAGCCTTCATCCTCAGACTGGTAGGTTGTAGGTTTCATCCTGAGACAGGTAGGTTGTAGCCTTCATCCTCAGACTGGTAGGTTGTAGGTTTCATCCTGAGACAGGTAGGTTGTAGGTTTCATCCTGAGACAGGTAGGTTGTAGCCTTCATCCTCAGACTGGTAGGTTGTAGGTTTCATCCTGAGACAGGTAGGTTGTAGGTTTCATCCTGAGACAGGTAGGTTGTAGCCTTCATCCTCAGACAGGTAGGTTGTAGGTTTCATCCTGAGACAGGTAGGTTGTAGGTTTCATCCTGAGACAGGTAGGTTGTAGCCTTCATCCTGAGACAGGTAGGTTGTAGGTTTCATCCTGAGACAGGTAGGTTGTAGCCTTCATAAAGTAGGTTGTAGCCTTCATCCTGAGACAGGTAGGTTGTAGCCTTCATAAAGTAGGTTGTAGCCTTCATCCTGAGACTGGTAGGTTGTAGGTTTCATCCTGAGACAGGTAGGTTGTAGCCTTCATCCTGAGACAGGTAGGTTGTAGGTTTCATCCTCAGACAGGTAGGTTGTAGCCTTCATCCTCAGACTGGTAGGTTGTAGGTTTCATCCTCAGACAGGTAGGTTGTAGGTTTCATCCTGAGACAGGTAGGTTGTAGCCTTCATCCTGAGACAGGTAGGTTGTAGCCTTCATCCTGAGACAGGTAGGTTGTAGGTTTCATCCTCAGACAGGTAGGTTGTAGCCTTCATCCTCAGACTGGTAGGTTGTAGGTTTCATCCTCAGACAGGTAGGTTGTAGGTTTCATCCTGAGACTGGTAGGTTGTAGCCTTCATCCTGAGACAGGTAGGTTGTAGCCTTCATCCTGAGACAGGTAGGTTGTAGGTTTCATCGTCAGACAGGTAGGTTGTAGCCTTCATCCTCAGACTGGTAGGTTGTAGGTTTCATCCTCAGACAGGTAGGTTGTAGGTTTCATCCTGAGACAGGTAGGTTGTAGGTTTCATCCTGAGACAGGTAGGTTGTAGCCTTCATCCTGAGACAGGTAGGTTGTAGGTTTCATCCTGAGACAGGTAGGTTGTAGGTTTCATCCTGAGACAGGTAGGTTGTAGCCTTCATCCTCAGACAGGTAGGTTGTAGGTTTCATCCTGAGACAGGTAGGTTGTAGGTTTCATCCTGAGACAGGTAGGTTGTAGGCTCATAAAGTAGGTTGTAGCCTTCATAAAGTAGGTTGTAGCCTTCATCCTGAGACAGGTAGGTTGTAGGTTTCATCCTGAGACAGGTAGGTTGTAGCCTTCATCCTCAGACTGGTAGGTTGTAGGTTTCATCCTGAGACAGGTAGGTTGTAGCCTTCATCCTCAGACTGGTAGGTTGTAGGTTTCATCCTGAGACAGGTAGGTTGTAGGTTTCATCCTCAGACTGGTAGGTTGTAGGTTTCATCCTGAGACAGGTAGGTTGTAGGTTTCATCCTGAGACAGGTAGGTTGTAGCCTTCATCCTCAGACTGGTAGGTTGTAGCCTTCATCCTCAGACTGGTAGGTTGTAGGTTTCATCCTGAGACAGGTAGGTTGTAGCCTTCATAAAGTAGGTTGTAGCCTTCATAAAGTAGTTGGTAGCCTTCATCCTAAGACAAGTAGGTCATTATTATGTCTGTTTTAAAACTGTTTCATTTATTTACTGTGCAGGTACTGAGGCAAAATGAGATCCTTGTTGAGCCGGGCCGTGGAGTGGCTCGTGGGTCAATGGCCAGCTTCAAAATCAAATCTCCAAGAGAAAAATGGCTCAAGAGACGGACAACAATCAAAGTCAGGGTATGTTGGTCATTTATTTTTGCTAATTTATAAACTTAATTGTTCTCATTAAAATATTAATTACTAGAGCTGTTGTGATTGTCTTTTTCTAAAAAAAAAATTTGATAAATCAGTGTTTCTGTTATATCAAAAATGAGAAGTAGTTTCATAGTTTAACATCTTAACTAAATTGTGATTTAAATCAATTTAAACTTTTCATTTATGGCTACTTTGTACTGCTTAACTTGAATCTAGCAAACTCTTTCTCCCAAGTTTTGCAGTTTATTTGAAGTGGCCTCCCTTTGTTTTTCAGAACTTGCAGCCTAACCACAGGGCAAATGATGTGATAGTGTTGGAAGACATGCCCCAAGTGTTGACAGCTAAATTTATGTATGGCTCATTGGACATAACATCTCTCACTGGGGAAAAGGTAGGCCAACATTTATTCATACTAGTATGTTAGTAGTAATTGATTAAAATTTATAAAAATAAATAAATGTATATAAATAAATGTATATATATATATAGGCCTATATATATAAATATATAAATATATAAATATATATATATATATATATATATATATATATATATATATATATATATATATATATATTTATTTATTTATTTATTTATTTTTTTATTTATTTATTTATGTATCATATAAAAGTGGTAATTTTTAACTCTCCCCCACAGGTTGATGTCAATGTCATGAAGCAGCCACCCTCAGGAGACTGGACACAGCTAGGGACGGAGGTGACCGACAGCCATGGCAGGTTCACCTACACCATACCTGAGGAGCAGCGCCTCAGTCAGGGTCTCTACCCCATCAAGTTGATTGTCAGGTAGGTTCTATGGTAGGTTCACCTACAGCACCTAAGGATGAGCACTTGAATATATTTACCCCATGTACTTGATTGTCAGGCAATAATTGAATAAACTTTCATTTCCCTCTAAATAAATGCAAATAAAAATAATTACTTGTTCTGTCACTTCACAAATGACTTTGTTGAACCATATGATTTCAACTTATAATTGCACTGAATCCCACCTTTCAGGGGAGACCACACCTCCGTGGACTTGTACCTGGCTGTGTTACCACCTAAAACAGAGACTGTGGCCTTCAGCATCGACGGATCCTTCACAGCCAGCGTCAGCATCATGGGCAAGGACCCCAAAGTCAGGGCGGGGGCGGTGGATGTTGTCAGGTGGGTGGGGGGCAGTGGATGTTGTCAGGTGGGTGGGGGCGTGGATCATGGTCCACATATGAACACTCAGCTTAAGAAGCAGTTCATTTATGAGACCTGTCTCCTTATTGTGTTTCTGTCCTAAACTAATGTGCATCATTTAATTGGGGGTCAAAACTCAGGGATTTTTAGCAATAAAACTCTCACCTGCCCAATCTCACTGTCTTCATTTATTTCATTTTTTATGTTTCTTCTGTTTATTTCTGTAACCATTTTCCTTTTGACCAGATGGCTGACTTGTTTTTTTTGTCCAATAGACAGTGGCAAGACTTGGGTTATCTGATCTTGTACGTGTCAGCGCGGCCAGATCTCCAGCACAGGAAAGTTGTGGCCTGGTTGGCCCAGCACAATTTTCCCCATGGGATGGTGGCCTTCATGGATGGGCTGTCCAAGGACCCACTCAAACAGAAGTACAACTACATCAAGTCCTTGCAGACTGAGGTCAGTGACCTTTTATATCCTGAGGGCAGTGCCCTTTTATATCCTGAGGGCAGTGCCCTTTTTAACGTGAGGGTCAGTGCCCTTTTAAAACCTGAGGTCAGTGCCCTTTTATATCCTGAGGTCAGTGCCCTTTTATAACCTGAGGTCAGTGCCCTTTTATAACCTGAGGTCAGTGCCCTTTTATAACCTGAGGTCAGTGCCCTTTTATATCCTGAGGTCAGTGCCCTTTTATAACCTGAGGTCAGTGCCCTTTTATAACCTGAGGTCAGTGCCCTTTTAAAACCTGAGGTCAGTGCCCTTTTATATCCTGAGGTCAGTGCCCTTTTATATCCTGAGGTCAGTGCCCTTTTAAAACCTGAGGTCAGTGCCCTTTTATAACCTGAGGTCAGTGCCCTTTTATATCCTGAGGTCAGTGCCCTTTTATAACCTGAGGTCAGTGCCCTTTTATATCCTGAGGTCAGTGCCCTTTTATAACCTGAGGTCAGTGCCCTTTTATAACCTGAGGTCAGTGCCCTTTTAAAACCTGAGGTCAGTGCCCTTTTATATCCTGAGGTCAGTGCCCTTTTATATCCTGAGGTCAGTGCCCTTTTAAAACCTGAGGTCAGTGCCCTTTTATAACCTGAGGTCAGTGCCCTTTTATATCCTGAGGTCAGTGCCCTTTTATATCCTGAGGTCAGTGCCCTTTTAAAACCTGAGGTCAGTGCCCTTTTATAACCTGAGGTCAGTGCCCTTTTAAAACCTGAGGTCAGTGCCCTTTTATATCCTGAGGTCAGTGCCCTTTTATATCCTGAGGTCAGTGCCCTTTTAAAACCTGAGGTCAGTGCCCTTTTATAACCTGAGGTCAGTGCCCTTTTAAAACCTGAGGTCAGTGCCCTTTTATATCCTGAGGTCAGTGCCCTTTTATATCCTGAGGTCAGTGCCCTTTTAAAACCTAAGCCGTTCCTTTTGAATAAATACTATTTTCTTTTAAGAACTTAGAAAGTTTTATGAAGGGTACTGAAAAATTTATTTTCTCTCATGATGAGATAACATAACCATCACTGTTATTGCTTAAGAGGTTTATTTTATTTTTCAGTTTATCTAGTATAACCATAGATGTTTGTTCAACCAGCGTATGTTTGTTTACTTACCAGGCTAAAATTGAGCTAAAGGCGGCCTATGGCTCCAGTAAAGACATTGCCATCTACAGGGACCTGGGACTTAGTGCTGAGGAAATATTTATCGTGGGCAAAGCTTCCAAGAAACAGCATGGTCTAGCCCAGGTGACTGACAGATTAAATTTAAACTTAAAATTTAATTTAGTTAGGCCTAGGGATATTTTTAGTTGTTATTAATTAATTAAACTTATTTTGTTTTTCACACATTATCTCTAGTGCTTTACTTTATAGGGATAAATAAAAGTATACCATTTATTTATAATAAATAAATAATTACTTTAATATTTCTGTAAATATTTCAAATATTTACTCTAAACTAGAAAATTGCCGCGACATAACGCAGCCCTGAATGAGAATGTTTTAAAAACTCTGCTCCACCAGATCCTGACTGATGGCTACTCTGCTCACCTGAGTCAGCTGATGTCCCCGGGGTTCACACGACCTGCCGTGGGCAACGCCCGCATGCTGCTGAGAAAGTCAAACTTCCGCCTGTCCACCCACGACCCCCATGGGCGGGAGAACAAGAAGACGGCGCGGCGCACGGCCTCGCAGCCTGGCAGCAGCTACAAGGGTCAGGGGGAGGCCACCAAGATTGTGGTCCAGGACTTCTCTAGCGCTGGGGGTCACAGGTCAAGGGACCAGTCACCCCGACTACAGCTGTCAGCACACGGGAAAAGTACGGACGTGTGACACACAGACATGTGACACATTGATGTGGGACAAATTGATATTGGCATGTGACAGTTGCCAAAAGTTAGTGGACCCTTATGGCAGTGACAGTGAAGGCCATTATGATTATGTGACAGTAATTAACAGTGTAACAGAGCAACATTTCATGACAAAAATGACAATGTACTGTGACTACACAAGGTAAATTTTCAGTTGACATTTTATATGACCAAAACATTGAGTTATGGCCCTTGATTAAATAACACAAAATAACCTGTGTTGTGGCCCTTGAATCAACCCATAAGTCAGTGGTGAAGTCAAATTTATCTCTGTTGGATCTCAAGCTATCTATTGTGATGTACAGCTGGTTCTAGATTTTTCCTGGGTTGACTGGTAGGGGGTTCAGAAGGTGGGGGTTAACCCTTTTGTGTTCATGTGATAATAAACCCCATAGTGTGTCTGTTGCCTGTAATCCCTGTGGTGTGACTGATGCCTGTAATCCCTATGGTGTGGCTGATGCCTGTAATCCCTGTGGTGTGTCTGATGCCTGTAATCCCTGTGGTGTGTCTGATGCCTGTAATCCCTATGGTGTGACTGATGCCTGTAATCCCTATGGTGTGGCTGATGCCTGTAATCCCTGTGGTGTGTCTGATGCCTGTAATCCCTGTGGTGTGACTGTTGCCTGTAATCCCTGTGGTGTGACTGTTGCCTGTAATCCCTGTGGTGTGACTGTTGCCTGTAATCCCTGTGGTGTGACTGTTGCCTGTAATCCCTGTGGTGTGACTGTTGCCTGTAATCCCTGTGGTGTGACTGTTGCCTGTAATCCCTGTGGTGTGACTGTTGCCTGTAATCCCTATGGTGTGACTGATGCCTGTAATCCCTGTGGTGTGTCTGATGCCTGTAATCCCTGTGGTGTGTCTGATGCCTGTAATCCCTATGGTGTGGCTGATGCCTGTAATCCCTGTGGTGTGTCTGATGCCTGTAATCCCTGTGGTGTGTCTGATGCCTGTAATCCCTATGGTGTGGCTGATGCCTGTAATCCCTGTGGTGTGTCTGATGCCTGTAATCCCTGTGGTGTGACTGTTGCCTGTAATCCCTATGGTGTGACTGATGCCTGTAATCCCTATGGTGTGACTGTTGCCTGTAATCCCTATGGTGTGACTGATGCCTGTAATCCCTGTGGTGTGACTGTTGCCTGTAATCCCTGTGGTGTGACTGTTGCCTGTAATCCCTATGGTGTGACTGATGCCTGTAATCCCTGTGGTGTGTCTGATGCCTGTAATCCCTGTGGTGTGTCTGATGCCTGTAATCCCTATGGTGTGGCTGATGCCTGTAATCCCTGTGGTGTGTCTGATGCCTGTAATCCCTGTGGTGTGTCTGATGCCTGTAATCCCTATGGTGTGGCTGATGCCTGTAATCCCTGTGGTGTGTCTGATGCCTGTAATCCCTGTGGTGTGACTGTTGCCTGTAATCCCTATGGTGTGACTGTTGCCTGTAATCCCTATGGTGTGGCTGATGCCTGTAATCCCTGTGGTGTGTCTGATGCCTGTAATCCCTATGGTGTGACTGATGCCTGTAATCCCTGTGGTGTGACTGTTGCCTGTAATCCCTGTGGTGTGTCTGATGCCTGTAATCCCTATGGTGTGGCTGATGCCTGTAATCCCTGTGGTGTGTCTTGCCTGTAATCCCTGTGGTGTGACTGTTGCCTGTAATCCCTGTGGTGTGTCTTGCTTGTAATCCCTATGGTGTGTCTTGCCTGTAATCCCTGTGGTGTGTCTGATGCCTGTAATCCCTGTGGTGTGTCTTGCCTGTAATCCCTGTGGTGTGTCTGATGCCTGTAATCCCTGTGGTGTGTCTTGCCTGTAATCCCTGTGGTGTGACTGTTGCCTGTAATCCCTGTGGTGTGTCTTGCTTGTAATCCCTATGGTGTGTCTTGCCTGTAATCCCTGTGGTGTGACTGTTGCCTGTAATCCCTGTGGTGTGTCTTGCTTGTAATCCCTATGGTGTGTCTTGCCTGTAATCCCTATGGTGTGTCTTGCCTGTAATCCCTGTGGTGTGACTGTTGCCTGTAATCCCTGTGGTGTGTCTTGCTTGTAATCCCTATGGTGTGTCTTGCCTGTAATCCCTGTGGTGTGTCTGATGCCTGATTCTTAAGGTGGAAATATAACCCCAGGGCATACCTTTGTAAAAAAAGATGATGATGCGTCATGGCTGTGTTAAGACAGTGGTGATTAACCCCCTAGTTACCAGGTGATTAACCCTCTAGTTAACAGGTATTTGTTCTTATTGTAATTCCAATTGCTCAACAAAACTGTGTAGATATCAAATTTTTGTTTGTACAGTTTGTTGTTAAAGTTGATAATTTGATGTATGTACAGTTTGTTGTTGAAGTTGATAATTTGGTGTTTGTCAAGTTTGTTGGTGTCATCTTTTTTCTCCTTTAGCTTTTTGAAATTCTCAACTTTTGCTGGAGTTGTAAAATACTGTACAAAGTTGTCTCCCATCAGTACTGTACAAAGTTGTCTCCCATCAGTACTGTACAAAGTTGTCTCCCATCCAACTGTGATGCTCTCAAAGCTACTAATGTGATAGTTGTGTGTCCTGTTGTACATCTAATCTACTTCACCTAGTTGTGTGTCCTATTGTACATCTAATCTACTTCACCTAGTTGTGTGTCCTAAGGTACATCTACTTTGCCTAGTTATGTTGGATTGTGCCAACAACTTCACTCAATATTTCTCCTCGTCAAATGACTGGTTTTAAATATTATACAAGTTCTACCAAATATGGATGTTAAGCTTATTTTGACAACTGTTCTACTGTATTTCTTCAGATGTTTTATTTACAATTATAAATCTGTGTTCATACATGTAACTTTGTTGTTAAGTTTACAGACTAGTTGAGGTTATAGACTAGTTGAGTTACAAATTGGATGAAAGTAACCTAAGGTGTGACTTCTAAAAATAGAAACATTCCCAGAAGACCCAGTTATTTAAGTTTTGTTGTTTTTTTTTTTAACTTCTTTTCAGAAGATGTTAGTTTTGTTTACAAATAATCTTTTGAAGAGTGCACAATGTGTGACAGAATGTTCACCTTTTTTTCTACTTCACTTTACACCTGAGTCTACACATGTAGAGGTTGTCTACCTGCTGTGTTCAATGAACTGACAAAAAAATATTTTCTTATCCATTATCTTAAGCAGCTTTTTTATATAATATTCGTTAAGTAAACAAAATTAAAAACGAACTTTTATTAATAAGTTTTGAGATAATCCTTTAATTAGTTAATCAAAAAAAAAATAATCAAAAATCAATAATTTTCTCATATTTTTTTAGGCATTAGTACTTAGTATACTTTAAATATTATTGTTTAAATAATGAACTCTAAATCAGCAGTTACGTTAATTAGATATTTAATAGCTTTTTATATTTTTCAGTTTATTTGTGATGTGATATATTTGTTTTTCAGTTCATAAATTATCTTTTTAATTTTAATTAGAAAAGTAAGAAGCTGTAAATATCATTGTATAGATCCGAGTGCTTTAAGCGTTCACTAAAAATATATTTTTAACCCTTTACGTACATATTAAAAAATATAAACATAGCCTATATATACTTATTATATATTTACATAGGGAACAGGGCATTACCCCCCTCCCCCTCCTGCTGGAGTAATTATCCCCTGTCAATTATCCCCCGGTCATAGCTTAAGGTTCAGCTAGGGTTAGACCTAGGGTTTGAGTTTGGGCTAGGTCTAAGGCTAGGATTAGGGTCAGACTTGAATCAATGTCAAGAGTTGGGTTTGGTTTTGGGTTAATTTTAGGGTGAGGTGAATTCTTAGGTTTTTCATCTTTGTCTTAAGGTTAGGATTAAGGTATAGAGTTGGAGTTAGAATCAGGATTCTCTCTTGGTGGATGGGGGAGGGGAATTCCTCAAGGAGGTAATTGACAGGGGGGTAATTGCTCCGGGGGTGGGGGGGTGGTAATGTCCTGTAGCCATTTACATATATATATATATATATATATATATATATATATATATAAATATATATATATATATAAATATATATATATATATATATATATATATATATATAAATATATATATATATATATATATATATATATATATATATATATATATATATATATATATATATATATATATATATATATATATATATATATATATATATATATATATATATATATATGCTTTTCTACAGATTGTACAAATAAATTTAAGTTAATTTAACTAAAAATCCATTTCTATGATTGGTTGATGTAGTATGTATAGATAGATAGTGAAAAAGGTAACCTATTATAGTGTTTTTGTGTTTGATCATACATTTTAGTGTAATGTTTTTCATATATTTTGTTTTGTGAAATATTTAAAATATTAAATCATTGTTTTTATTGTATTTATTTGTGGCTTCAATGGGAGGCTACTCCAAAAAATTTTGGTGAATTTATTTTCTGGATACTGATACAGCTGAGCATATTTGTTAAGGTCATTTATAATATTGAGTTGAGGAACTTGTAAAAATTTTGAATAACTTTATGCTGAAGGTAGGCAATTTAGTTGAGAAATTGGTAAAAACTTTATGCTGAAGGTATTTATGAAAAATGTATGACATTAGGTGAGAGAAATATTTTAGTTTGGAGCTGTTGGCAGAGTTTTGTCACAGGACAACTGGATGGATCAGAGTAGTGTGTAGAGGTTGTGATGACCAACTCTCAACTTGGACAGACATAGATCAGGTAGGCCATTACCCACTGGGCCATTACCCACTGGGCCATTAACCATTGCATGATGCTGTCCAAATTTTGGAAAAATATATTTTTTAAAAACAAATTTAATTTTTTCTTACTCACTATAACTTAGTATAACAATATGGCTGTTAATTGCAATCTATTTTTAGTAGCATTCTTGTGATAGCTGTCAATAAGCTTTGCCATTTTATAAAAAGTGCCGTATTTAAAAAATGTCTAGATCTAGATCTAATTACTAGTAAATCTGATGAGTCCAAGTGTTCTCCCTGAGTCACCAGCTGGGTGTTCAGTTTTTGATTAGTAGGAAGTTTTCTTTCTGTCAGTCTGTTCTTCATTTGGTTGTCACTTATGATCTTGAATAAAATATAGGTAATTAAATTTAAAAATTGGAAGGTCATCTTACTGATAAATGACACTGCTCCAGCTAAACTGGAACCTCCTCCATGACTCACAAACAGGATGGTTGAGGACACCGATATCTGGTGTGTGTTCGGTTGTTGGTAGTATTGTAATCTACACGACTTCTATGGTTAGAAATTAGGCTTAGGCATATGGTAGGGTTGGGGATAGGGTTAGCATTGACATTAGCAGCAATGTGTGTATTTTAGTCAGTAACCTAACACCTCTTTTTTAACGAAGATTCTCTTAACGGACACCGGTATAAAAAATCCCCCCCAGTAAACAAAAGCTAGTACTTGTTGCATTATTGTAGGATATATCATAGAATCTGAAATCACTGTCCACAAACTCTGATGAGCTTCACCACTGGTCATGTCTCATACAGAATTTTTTATATCTCCACATGCACCAAATACTCCACACAAAGCAAATACTCCACACAAGTTCAGAGCTGTTCTAGTTAGATAATGTTGTGGGAGGGCGGGGGGTGGGGGTTCATTTCGTTTGTCAATCTCGTCCTTGGTATTTTCATTTTTCAAGTGATGATTTACAATGTATGTTTGGTGGTCGTCTTGTTGAGATGAGTAGTCTATTGTCATCGAGTGATACCATAGAACAATGCTTTTATTATTGCTCAACTCAATGTGTCCTTGTGTTTTTATGTTGGCTTGAGACTAATTTACTCATGGATAGATTGTTTATATGTTGGCTTGAGACTAATTTACTCATGGATAGACAACTTCTCTAGCACTCCTTGCTGTAGGGGACTACATGATATAAAGAAATTATCTTTTGGTTAAACTACTTTTGACAATTGTATTTATTTTTCTTAAAATTATTAGGCTAATTTCTTTTTTTTAACCCAAATTAGATATTTTTTCAGATAAGTAATTACAATACAAATTTTTAAAAAATTGTAAAAAATTTTGTTATTGGTTAGTTTACTAGAGCAAAATCTGGATGTAGTTGTTAAAAAATGTGTTTGATATTTTCTTCAACCAGTGACCAGATGTGATGGTTGTCTCACCTAAAAACGTTTGTGCTATTTACATTTTCATCAATTAAAGTGTTTTCATTCCAGTCTATTTGCTGGTTGGTTTTTTTTTAAACTTTCAATATTTATTTTACATTGTGATATTTATGATCTATGTGTTTGTTGTCTAGTCCGTTGTTTTTTTGTCTAAATTCTAAATGGTCATTTTTTAAAGTGATCCATGTGGTCAGTTGTAATGTCGTCACATTTGTTCTGAATTCCATGTGGTCATTCTTCTGTTCCTTGTGGTCAAGTTTCCTAATCAATCATTGACATCCCCATTTAGTTACACCCAAAACAATAGCAACAATATGAAACTTATGGCTATTAATAAGATTAAAATTTTACTAACTAAAAAATATTTTAGACTTAAAGATTTTATTCCTTGAATTTGGTCATGTAGTAACACAAGATAGTTTGTAACAACACAAACAAGATATAGGAAAAAAACAGTTTCAACATTGATATGTTCATGAAAGCAAAGGACATCAAATCTGCATGTAAACAATAATAAAATAGAAATAAACCAAGTCACCATCGCAAAGTTTGAGCAAAATATTTCATCAATATAGACAGGCCCTGGGGGATTAGTGTTTATGTTAGTTCTGTTTTCAAATTAATATTAATTATTATTTCAAAGAATTTTCATTGAATATACAAAGGGTCTAAAATATAAGAAATATTTTTTTAAAACAAGAAAAGTTATTGGTCAATTTTGAATCTGAGATTTTTGTTACTGAAAAGTAATAGGGATTCAGATTCAAATGGATTCTTCAAAAATACTGAAAATAAATCAAGGATTTTCATATGTATTAAATATGAACATTAAATATGGCACACTGGTAAAGTTTGTACATTCATGTTCATACACAAAAAAAAAAAACATTAATGGCACCATATGAAAGTTACTTCCCATTAAAACAAGGGAATGAACTCCCCACTTGAAAAAAATAAATCTTTATTTATGACTAGTACACATACAAAATTAGATTATGCACCAAATCATAATGGATTTAGTTCATTATTTATGATTAAATATGTTTGGATTTCTAAATATTTGAAAATTAAATTTAGCTTTCTGTAACATATCCCAGAAGTCTATATAAATGATAATTAATACTGATCTGATTTTTTTAATGTAACGAACATTTTACAACTACTATAGAAAAATGTTTCTTTGTTGAGCTTTCACCTCAGCTCTTTCTAGTAATTAACAGTCATTTTGTTTATGTAACAGCTGATTTCGTAGTCATTTTGTTTATCAGTTAATTTAACAGATTAATTAATTTTATTTTAACCTGAAACACACATTCGTTTAGAGAGTGTTCATATTTATAGTAGATTTATATATATATAGATGAAAACTTATTTAAACAAGGTAAGTCAATCAATCATACCCTGTCTCAACTTTTTTTTACAAAACTTTCACCATTCCGTTTCATAATGGAACTTTTTAATTAAATTCCGTTTCATAATGGAACTTTTTAATTAAATTCCGTTTCATAATGGAACTTTTTAATTATTAAAACAAATTCAGCCTGCAAAATATGTATCTCAATATAAAAAAAAAGATGCAACATTTTTATAAGCCATTTTAAGAAGATAAGAAGGACGACACAACTGCAGACAACAATTGGTTTATATTTCACAGTTAGAGCAATCGTTTCAGGTGTACATGCAATATGCATTCAAGGAAAAAGTTTTCATAACACAATTAGATCTAGAAGCCGTGAATGAACTGGATTTCTAACCAGGGAAGCAGGGACCCAAAAAGGTCAGAACTTTCCCCCTATCTCCCCCTTCTATAGTAAATAGGTTTTTATTCATTTGGCATTTTAATTACGGCAGAAACCTTAAACTGTTTTGTTTAATTTACAAATTGGAAAATATTTAATAAAATATGTACACAATGAAGAAAAGTATCTTCATTTTAAATTATGGAAAAAATGGATCATGGAAAAATACTATCAGGAATGCTTTGTAAAACAAGATTTAAAAGGTAACTGTTTAGTAAAAAAAGCATTTTTGAAGTATTTGCGTAAAATGAGTTGACACCTGAACAAGGTTGAGACAAACAATAGCAAGGAATGTAGGCATAACATCTGTCAAGTGAAGAATTCAGAAAGCTAAATCAAGAAAAGGCAGAAATATTTTTAAAACTGTACAACAATGGTTTATGAATTTATTTAAAAATATCAATCAATCATTTCCCAGTAGTTTTCAAATGACTTTTTAAAAAGGTTAAGAGTTTAAGTTATTATTTTCCATAATTTAAAAAAAGTGAAATAAAAAAATGAGATGAGAGATGCGGTGATGGTGAGGCACATTTGGAGTTACTCGATGTCTTTCTACAATTGATGAGGTCAAAGTCTTTTGTAGGCTCGATCAGTTTTTATTTAGAAAACTAAAGAAAAAAAACAAAAAATATTTTGCCCCCTTAGGTTCATAGCAGAAAGTTAATAGATGAATTTCATTATATAGCTTTAACCTTGTGATTTCTAAATTTAAATCCGTAAACATTTATAAAATCAAAACTACCATTTTTGAAGATATCTGAGTATTTTTACAATTTAAATTGAGTAAAGTCAATAAATGATTTCCCATGCTAGGCTACTTTACTTTATTATTATTAATACTGACATTATTTTTTTTTTATATTGTTCACTTAATCAGCTACCTATATTTTTTGTTTTTCAATTGACACTTTGAAAGTAATCTCTTTCAATCAGAGTTTATCAAAGTGCTTTACTTCAACTTTTTCAAAAAAAAAGTTAGTTTACAATTGTTTCATTAAAATATGTGTATAGTTATCATTTTGCAATTGAGATAATCTGAATTAAACTCATCTTTCTAATTTAAAAACCTAAAAGTAAAAATTTGCTGAAATTGTTCCATGAACATTTAACAGGTAAAAACAACTTGCTAATTTCTCTTCAAATACTCGTATGTGTCAAGTAATATCAAGTTTTGTGAGCCATAATATCAATGTCGTACAGCTGGGGAGATCTGTTGTGTGAACCCTGTGTTGCATAGCACACCCATTATGTCAGCGCAGGTCCCTCAATAATACTGAGTTTACATTGGCATAGCTTTCATCTAGGCTGCTTCACAACCACAGATGCAATGTAAAAAATTATTTAGATTTCCTTGTAAAACTTTTTCATGGACTAAAATTACTTTCTCCATTGTTTAAAGATGTAAATTCTTAATTATTCCTTTGATTCTATAAAAGAATTGAATTTCCCTTCGTTAATTAGTTTTGGCTTAAGTAAACTGACTTATTAAATTCTAACAGTAGAAGGCACAGTTCTCTGTTTTAATGCTTCAACAGTTTAAAATTAACAGACCAATCTGTTTACTTTAAATTACAGTACAAAGTAGTGCTGTTGATAACTAGGTCAATAAAAAAACAATTCACCAACTCAAGCTAGTTTCACAAAAACCACACACATTTGAAAACAAATGCTCGAATTTTAAATAGTTGGAATTAAAATAAAATATTTTACACCAATCCACATTTTTTACAGACTTACAATAGTTGGCTGGAAAAAGACAGCCAAAATATGAAAACAATACAGAAAATATTTCCTTTTATTCTGTCTGCAGAAAACATTTTCTGTATTAGAGAGTGCCCCACCCAGTGGAACACACGACCAGAAAGGTCAAGGTCAAACTTATTTTCTCATAAGTCCAAAAGTAGGAAATAAAAAAAAAAAGTTAAAATAAAAAAATGACAATTTGATGTGGTCAACTATACAATTAAGAATGTACATGTTGTTAGTGTAGTTTGGTACAATGAGGCACATGGTGATTATTAAAACAATGATAATAATTCTTGTCGTCCAGCACAGCCCAAGTTGAATCATGACAGAGGCTTGCACTCCGCTGCGTGGATACCCCAGTGTTTGCTCTGGAGAAAAATATTATTTATTTATAGATTTGAATGTAAAAAGTAATCAATGGTAACTTTTTTTCTACATTAAAAATTTTTATTTGTAGATTTGAATGTAAAAAGTAATCAATGGTAACATTTTTTCTACATTAAAAATTTTTATTTGTAGATTTGAATGTAAAAAGTAATCAATGGTAACATTTTAAACCATCAGATTTTTTCTACATCTAAATATTTTATAAAATTTGGTTTAGTTTTTAGTTACCATGGCCATTTGTTTAAAAAAAGCCAAAGTAAAATAAATTTTAAGTGTTCAGCTAAAAAAAATTAATTTAAAAAACATTCTAGTTTTTTAAATGCCAATTAAAACATTAAACATGGTAAACTACAAGCCTACAATGTAAACAGAAGTAAGGTCACAAGAACCAGCTACTTACACTGCCACAAAAAAATGACCTTAAACTACCACAAAAAATGACCTGAACACAAAGAACTAGCAAGAAGAATTACCTGACACGTTTGGTTACAGTACCAGACCCGTCTACAGCTTGAGCACAGGTACACAGCCAGTTTACCACAAACTCGGCACAAACTGTTAGTCACACTGCTGGGCTGCCCGGGCACCATGCCCCCATACCCAGCTACAGGCCTAGGGGGGACAGGAATTGGGGGCATGTTGCCAGGCGGCATTCCTGAAGGACCTTGTGTCTGTGGTGCCACCTGGCGAGGTCGGTCAAACATGGTTGGCTTGGACTGCTGTCTCTGCTACAAATTATAAATAAAATAATTTTTTTTATTGTCTCACATTAATGTAGTTCTCTGCTACAAGTAATATTTTTTTTATCATCTTAATATTTATCACCTAGATGTTCTTTTAGATTGATTAAGTAAAATACTATCAACCAGCCTCCCAGGGGGATTGCATTGTCCATAAAAGAAAATTACTTTTCTCTGGGGGGGGGGGGGGGGGGACTTTCATGATGTAAGGGTTTTTAAACAAAAAATTTAATGATAATTTTTTGAAAAACATTGTATTGTATGTTTTCTTTTAATGTTACACAAATTTGTCAATTAAAGTCGCTATTAAATATAAACTATTTCTTAAATGTAAAATAGTTCCTGTGGTTAAAAAAGGGTCAAGAAATATTGACCTGATGTAGCATAGCCAAATGTTCCGCCTCAGTGGGTCTGTGGTGAAGGCCTGGATTTTGGCCCATCATTAAACCTGCATTCACTGCACTGTTGGGCGACAAATTAGGATAGTTGGGGGAGCTGAAAAGAATTGTTTCAATATTAAAATTACTCTTACTTTTTGATTTTCTATTTGTTATCTATTTATTAAATGCTGGAAATTGTGAATCTCCTTAACCCTTTAATTGACATGTAACAAAATTAACATCTCCAGTAAAATATTGGCATGAACTGAATAATTTGATTAAAAATATTTTACCATTTATTTATATATTGTGGAAATATTTTAGTGAAATTCTAAATATTTTAGTGCATACAGCGAACAAATATTTTATGCCAATATCCTACAATTGTTAGTGCAAATAGTATAAAACTATTTCAAGGCAGAAAGTAGAAATTTGTAAATACAAATATTATAAAAATATTTTAGTGCAGATTAGTAGAAATATTTTTGTTCATATATGATATAAATATTTAAATGCAGACACTGTGTTTAAATATTGTATAAATATTTTAATGCAGATAATGTAGCATTTTTTTTACCTGGAGCACTCTCCAAACATTAACTGCGGGATACCCAAGTTTTGTCCCCCATGAGGTGGCGCCACCAGTGACATCCTCTGATTGGTTGGAGAAGGAATTTCCCCTGAGGCGATGGATTTCTGTGTGCTGAGGCCCTGTTGTAGCTGGTGGAACTGGTACTGCTGCTGCTGTTGCATTATCTGCTGTTGCTGTTGTTGTTGATGTAGTTTTTGATAAGTGATGGCGTCTAGATTTTGGTTTAGATTTGGGTTCTGTAGATAGGGTGATCTCGGCTAAAATAAAAGTTTTACATTTTTTCAGAACATTATTGAAATTTATGTAATTATGTTGATAATTAGTTGCAGTAGGAATTAAATTACGCCAGAATTTTTTAAATGTTGTCGGAAATGAAGAGAACTTTAAAGTAAAAGTGATTGATAAAACTATTATTCTAAAGTTTATTTCCACACACATACGCAATGTTGCAAGTTGAAAATGAAATTTTCCAGGTTCGTATATTAACTTATGTCTATAGTATTCTACCAGATCAGTTGCATTAATCTTCTGCTACTAATAGAGTGTGCTTACTTACTCTTCCTTTCTAAACTTGACTTGTCAGTAAATACATGCTCAGAAAAACAAAGCAGTATAGAAATCAAGGGTTATTTGTGTGATATAAGTCTTAGCTTGTGTGTGTCTAAAAATAAAACCATAGAGTATGATAGAGCCCACTGACCTGTAGCCCTGAATGTTTATTTGTGTGATTAAAGTTGTATCATGTGTGTGTCTAAAAATAAAACCATAGAGTATGATAGAGCCCACTGACCTGTAGCCCTGAAGGCCCCAAGCTGCAGTTGTCCACACTCCCGTACGACCTCCAGGACGGGATGTTGCCGTCCAGGGGCGGGTGGGTCCGCAGCTTCTTCTGCTGCTGCTGCAGCTGCGCGTGCCTCATGTAGCTCTCCCCCAGACTCCCGGGCGCCGGGAGGGGCGGGCGTTGTTGGAAAGTTTGGCTTGTGATCGGCTGTGGGTGGTGGCCAGCCACGCTGGAGTGCAGGCTGGTGTGTGGCGGCAAGGTGTGGGTGTGGCTGACACCACTGTGGCTGATGCTCTGCTGGTTGAACAAGGGACCAACCTCCAGCTGAAGGTGCTTCTGCTGCTTGTACAGGAGGTCGGAATGTTTTTGGAAGGCTGGGTGGACTTCCCCACGCCCTCTCTGCTTGTCCATCTCCTCTGCCAGCAGCCTGTTGCCCACGTCGCCTTCTGGAAACATCTCCAGACCAGAGTTTGAGAGCAGATGGCTGGACCTGGGCTGGTTGCCGGGGGAATGACCTCGCCATTGACCTTGAGATGAGGCAAACTCTGAGCCCGTCGCGTGCTGCTCGTCCACCCAGCTCATGCCGACGTGCGTGTTGGAGGAGAAGCGTGGCGAGAGCTCGTCTGGCTTGTGGAAGGTCGTGCCCATCGTGGTCTGGGCGGGCATCTGAGGGTCTGCCATGCCGGGCGGGTTGCTGGAGTAGCGCTGCCTGTGCTGGGTTACCGAGGACACGCTGGGCCGCACGTGGTCTCTGAAGAAAGGATCCTTCACAGGCACTGGTCTCGCAGGTTCCCTGACAGGTTCCCTGACAGGTTCCCTCGCAGGCAAGCGGTGCCGTGTTGTAATAAAGCCACCTGGTCTAGACCTGTCGTTAAATCCATTGGGTAAAGCATTGGATTTGTCTTGACCTGGCGCAAATTCAAACAGTGCATCATCCCCAGGAGCACCCAGCCTTGACCTTAGACTAGGTTGATAAGCCTGAGGTCTCCTCCCCAGGGCGTCTTGCCGCGCGTACTGCAGCGGATCCGGCGACGTCTGGTGGTTGAAGCCTGGCTGAGTATGTGCTGTTGGTGTGCCGGGCAGAACCAGTGTTGCCTTTTCATCGCTGGGGGTCCGAACATCTTTAGTAAGGTCTATGATCAGGTTATTCTGTGGCCTGACATGAACTTTAAAAGCGCTTTTCTTCTCGCCGTCATCCGAGCCAAAGGATGGTCTGTCGTTGGGCTGTAAGCTGGGCGGGATGGGGTGGGACTGAATGACAGGCCGCTGTAGCGTGTTCTGCTGATGCTGCTGTAGAGGTGGAGGAGGCCCGATAGATTCAGGCTTGGAGAAAAACCGCTTGTCGGGGGCGCCGGCAGACGACAGCTGGAAACTGGGCTGTGGTTTGTTGACTTGGTCGGCTGACTTTGGGCCGGAGTCAAGGACAGGATGACTTCGCTCCCTTAGCTCAGACTCGTCCAGGGATTTCCTCTGCGCCCTGATCAGGGTTGTCTCCCCAGAGGGCGCCGACATGGGGGCGCTGGAGCTGTCAGAGTTCTTGATGGGGCGCGGCGCTATGCTCCTGTACGTGGGCTGTGGTTTGGACCCCTGTGGGGTGGGGCGGGAGGTGGTGGAAAGAGGAGCACCAATTTGAGATGTCGAATATTTAGCAGAACTTGGCAGTGTAGTTGAGCAACTGGTGGAGGAAGCGAACGAACCACCAATAGCGACAATAAGATTCCCAGCGGTCTGAAAAGGCCTTTGGCTGTGTGCTTTCTGGGGCTGGTCGTCTTTGGGCGCCTCCTTGCTGAGGAATGGAGGCTCGAGAATGGCGACGTTCCGGCGGTGATACGGTCCCTGAAAGTAGGCGGAGTTGTTGACGTGCGTCATATCCAAAGGCGCCGTTTGCGGTTGGTTTTGGTGGGCAGGGACGGGTTTCAAAACCTTCTCAGAATCTGTCTTTTTCTCCGCGTCCGACTCTTGCTTGTGAGCTGAAGGCGATTCGGTTTTGTGTTGCTCTTGTTTTAAATCCGGGGTTTTGGAGGACACCTCGAGAGTTTTCTCCCCTTCATTGGAACTTGCTGGAATGCCCGAAGGCTCAACAGTTTTGAGATTCTCATTAACAGTTTCTGAAAGTTCTGGAATATCCACTTCCAGAACTTCCGTTTTGCACTTGACCTTTGACGTATCCACATCCTTTGGATTCGACTCTGGATTGATCACGACCTCTGACACTTCAGTTTTTACAACCGACTGTGACGTCGCTATACAGCCCGCGACTTTCAAATCGGATTCAGGTAAAGCTGTTTCACCTTTTGACAAGGCCGTTTCGTTTTTATTGACTGTTGTTTCACTTTTGTTAAAAGCGGTTTCACTTTTGTTAAGAACTGTTTCGCTTTTGTTAAAAACTGTTTCACTTTTGTTAAAAACTGTTTCACTTTTGTTAAAAACTGTTTCACTTTTGTTAAAAGCCGTTTCACTTTTTGTGAACGGACTGTCTAAAACGGAAATTTGTGGAACAGGTTTTGGAGCGGCCTCCGTGGCAGTCGGTGCCGGCACTGTCTGGCAGGGCGCGGCGGTGCCAGGTGGTGTTTTTGATGGCGTGTGGGTGTGTGCTGGGGAGGGGATCAGTGACGAGGGTGTCGGGGGGTGTGTCAGCAGGGTCAGGGTCGACACCGTGGTTAGCGCTGACGTGGGGGTCAGACTAGACCCGGGTTTAGCGGGGACGAAAGACTTGTCAGCGTCAAGTGATAGCGCGTTGAAATGTCCCATTCGGTCGATGTCCCGTTTCGCCTTCTTCATCTCCATAATGCGCAGCTGTTCCGCCTTCCGTTTCCTCATGATGGCCACCTGCATCTGCTCCTGTGCCTTCCGCTCGGCCAGTTTCTCCAGAGCTTTGAACTCGATCAGATGTTTCTGGAACTCCTGGTCCAACTCCGCGTCCGTCATCGTCTTGGAGGACTGGTACGACGAGGTCAAGGACATGGGCACGTCCATGACGTCAGACTTGAGACTGGTGTCCATGGGCTCCGGCTGGGTCAAGGTGACCAGCGAGGGCTCCACGTCACGTGATACCAGCCGGCTGTTCCGGTCCATGTCCGTCTCGGTCTCTAGCTCGGCAGACAGGGCCAGGCCGATGGTGATAGACTCGTCGATCAGGGCCCCGTCCCCGCCCTCCCCCAGCAGGAGTTGACCCTTGGGGCTGTCCATGGCGATCCCGCCCGACGTCTTCATGCATAGGTCGAGAGTGTCGTTGTGCATTGGGAAGCTTCGTTCAACTTTGAACTCTGACCCCATGGGGTTTCGTTGTTGTGGTTTGGTAGACAAAATATTCTCATCGGAGACATCCGTTTGAATGGAATCTATTTATAGAACAGAAAAAAAACAATTGTGTATTTTAATGTAATCATTTGATTTTTGTTATATTTTACAACACATATTATTATTATTATTATTATTATTATTATTATTAATAATAATATTAACAAGTTAAAAAAAAAATTCTATTCGAACGTTATTTCCCTTATCAAGGGCGCCAACCCTGCCTTTACCTATGGCTTGAGCCAGCTGTGAGGCGGGTATGGCGGTCTTCACGGCAACCTTCAGGTCCATCGACGTCTGGGAGCTGACCAGTCCCAGGAACGGTGACGACATCGTGGCCGTCTTGAGCTGCACCTGGGGCAGGACCATCTGCACGGGGGGGTTCCCCTTGGTGCGGGCGTTCACTGTGCCCAGAGACTCTGGGGGGAGAGGCAAACGGTGGGTCAAAAGATGTCAGTGGGGGTGGGGGGGGGGGGAAACTAAGTCAGTGGGGGGGGGGGGTGAGGGGGGGGGGGTCAGAGGCTCGTGAGGAGGGAGAGAAACGCTGGGTCAAAGGGAGTTTGGGGGGGGGAGGAGGAAAAAGTTGGGGGGTTGCACGTCATGTTTAGATGTTTGAAACGTGCTAGGACTTGAATGTGTTTGACCTTAGGACACACCTGTGTCCAGCTCCGGTAGGACACACTGTGTCTATTTCTGATGGTTACCTGACATCTTTGAGTCACCTCAGCACTAACCAGTACCTGGGATGTGTCATTCAAAACAAAGGCCACACTAATACAGTCCACACACCTAACCATCAGATAAACTCTACTTCATCTTCCTATTTTAATCTCTCCCCATCATCTGAGAGATGTCCCGAACATCTGGCCCATTGAAGTGTTGGCGTATCTGTTTTTTTCAACGCGTGTCGCTAGTAGACTCAAAGTGGGCGAACAGAACAGATTATATCAACATTGCACGTGTGCTTGTTTCCATGTGTGGATTAAACCATGTGGATAAGTGGTTTAAGCCACGCGGATAAGTGGATTAAAGCATGCTAATTTGTTAAATTAAGCACAGATGTCTGCGAATGTGTACAGGCGAGACTTGCAACGTGTACACTGGAGGGGGGGGGGAGATAAATTAGATGGAATAAAATTAATGAAGGGATGCAATCCCGTTGGAAGAGTATTGATATTTTAGCCAGCACATATGTTGGGGGCCCACTGAATGACACACCCACACGTTTAAATGGTTGTATGTTGGTGCCACCATATATGGTTGTATGTTGGTGCCACCATAAATGGTTGTATGTTGGTGCAAGCATATGTGGTTGTATGTTGGTGCCACCATATATGGTTGTATGTTGGTGCAACCACTGTGTAACGGACCCCCGGGCTCACCTGATTTCTTCAGACACAGATCTAGGGGCACGCCCACATCTCCCGGGGCGGGGGTGGAGGTGAGCGACGATGACGTGGTTGTCTTGGTGGTGCTGGGCGAGGCTGACGTCACCGTGGTCGTCGTCTTGGTGCTGGAACTAATCCACACGCCGCAGCCGGCACAGTTGCCGGACCCGGCGTGCAGGGACTGGCATTCCGAGCACCTGGCCGGACCCTGGGGCGTGGCCGACGGCGCTGACGTCACATCCGGTGAATTGAGCGTGGAGACGCTCTCGGACTTGACGTCAGGCTCTGTCAGCCTCGGGTGAGGAGCGTCTTCTGACGTCACGTCCGGTCTGTTTTCGTTGGACAAGGCTGGCACGTGGTCCCCGGTGTCCTCGACCTTGACATTGCCTTGGGGGTGTGTCTCTGACATGTGCAGCAATGGCGGCTCCAGGTCAGGTAGATCAGCAGGTGGTTGCCTGATGGAGCAAGCACCACAAAATGTTAGACAAGTTTGGTTATGCTAGTAGACACCCAGACACTTTCTTTAATCGATAACTCTAGTTATTGAGACGGTATGTCGCGTGAGTATGTTAAATTAACTAATTAACATTGATTAAAATATTAAAATTGTAATTAGCCAGCTTATGTCTAGAACTAGTTCTTTCTTCAGTTCACAAAAGAAAAAAAAATTAAATAAAAAAACGACTTAACAATTCTATTTCAGTTCTTATTATGCTTAGTCACGACTATGTGATTAAATGACCAGGTTTTAAGACAATAATTTAATTATACTGATTGGAAAAGATACTTGAAATGAATATTTTGTTTAGAGCTTAAAACTATATTGAAAAAATTCTGTTATGAAATACACGCAATCACGTTGATTAGTCTGAGTGTTTCTGGAACTTTCGGTACTTGCTACACTGCAAGATGTGAACCTACCTTTGGGTGTTGGTTAAGTGCCAGATGTGAACCTACCTTTGGGTGTTTAGTTAAGTGCCAGATGTGAACCTACATTTGAGTGTTTAGTTAAGTGCCACATGTGAACCTACCTTTGGGTGTTGGTTAAGTGCCAGATGTGAACCTACCTTTGGGTGTTTAGTTAAGTGCCAGATGTGAACCTACATTTGAGTGTTTAGTTAAGTGCCAGATGTGAACCTACCTTTGGGTGTTTTGGTTAAGTGCCAGATGTGAACCTACCTTTGGGTGTTTTGGTTAAGTGCCAGATGTGAACCTACCTTTGAGTGTTTAGTTAAGTGCCAGATGTGAACCTACCTATGGGTGTTTGGTTAAGTGTCAGATGTGAACCTACCTTTGCGGTGTTTGGTTAAGTGTCAGATGTGAACCTACCTTTGGGTGTTTGGTTAAGTGCCAGATGTGAACCTACCTTTCTGTGTTTGTACTGACGGGAGAAGATTTGCCGCCCGGGGGCACGGGACTCACGGCCCGAGAACCGTCTGTGTCGTCGTGGCTGAGATCAATGGTGAGACCACTTTCATCGTTACCATCATCTGTTGGGGGAGCAACCACATGGCATTTAGATGATAGACATCACCACACAAACATCACATGTCATTCACATCACTACACAAACATCACATGTCATTCACATCACCACACAAACATCACATGTCATTTACATCACTACACAAACATCACATGTCATTCACATCACCACACAAACATCACATGTCATTCACATCACTACACAAACATCACATGTCATTCACATCACCACACAAACATCACATGTCATTCACATCACTACACAAACATCACATGTCATTCACATCACCACACAAACATCACATGTCATTCACATCACTACACAAACATCACATGTCATTCATGTAATTCACATGCACATCACAAATCATTCACACGTTGCACACATATACACATAGACATCACAGACCATTTGATTGGTCCTCGTCTAATACATGCTAGAAGCAGGGTTTCATTCAGACATTTTTTTCCGGGAGTGTGTGTGGGGGGGGGGGGGGGGAGGAGAAACTTCTGGGGAGGGCTGGGCGGACACCGCTGAAAGTAAATATTTCCTATGTAAAATATATTTTGTCTATGGCGTCCTAACCCACAGGGAAATGCCTGTAAGAATCTTTGGCTAGAAGGTTTCGTGTTTTTCTAAAGTTTAAAAGCCCATAATTTTTAACGACTAAAATAAAGTAGGTGGGGGGGGGGGGGGGGTCAATGTCCTGACCAACGCTCATCCCCATGTTACCTAGAGACAGCAGGTCTATGTGAGTGTGTGTGTGTGTGGGGGGGGGGGGGTTCAAGGTCTTGACCAAAGGTCACCCCATGTTACCTGGAGACAGCAGGTCTATGTGGGGGGGGGGTAAGGTCTTGACCAGAGGTCACCCCCATGTTACCTGGAGACAGCAGGTCTATGTGGGGGGGGGTAAGGTCTTGACCAACGGTCACCCCCATGTTACCTGGAGACAGCAGGTCTATGTGGGGGGGGGGGGGGGTAAGGTCCCCATGTTACCTGGAGACAGCAGGTCTATGTCGAAGTCCAAGCTCTTGCTGGTGCCAGACAGCAGGTCAGTGGAGCTGAACGGTTCCACTTGAGTGACTTCCCTACAAGGACACAAACAGTTGACATTGGTTAAAAATCTGACATGAAATCACGTGACGGGGTTATCTACGTCATTTCCGGGTTCATCTGCATAATTTATGAACTGCTTGGAACATCTCGCGGAGTCACGTTTATGCCTAAACACGGCGAGATTTGCGTGCTACCAGTAGAGCGTGTCCTAGACAAGTGACCAATGCTTACATTACACTGTACATGCTTACATCGCGCTGTAATGCTTACACAACCAGTCGCTTAACTGTTTTACGGTTTGCTAGGACAGCTAAAAATAGTATCCAAATGTAAACAAATTCACAGTGATCCGCCCTTTCCGGTGTACATGCTCACGTGGTGTTAGAGTTGACAATGTTGCCGACACGACTGTCTGCGTTATAATGTTGCCGACACGACTAGCTGCGTTATAATGTTGCCGACACGACTATCTGCGTTATGATGTTGCCGACACGACTGTCTGCGTTATAATGTTGCCGACACGACTAGCTGCGTTATGATGTTGCCGACACGACTATCTGCGTTATGATGTTGCCGACACGACTGTCTGCGTTATAATGTTGCCGACACGACTAGCTGCGTTATAATGTTACCGACACGACTTTCTGCGTTATGATGTTGCCGACACGACTTTCTGCGTTATAATGTTGCCGACACGACTATCTGCGTTATGATGTTGCCGACACGACTAGCTGCGTTATAATGTTGCCGACACGACTAGCTGCGTTATAATGTTGCCGACACGACTAGCTGCGTTATAATGTTGCCGACACGACTAGCTGCGTTATAATGTTGCCGACACGACTGTCTGCGTTATAATGTTGCCGACACGACTACCTGCGTTATAATGTTAGTTCAAAAGCTGATCAACGGGTGAAGTAGACTTAGATCATTGATATCCCATAATTCTCTGCAGACTGAGGCCAATGTTGGGTCATCATGTTTCCCTAATATCGATGCACCATCGCGAGCGACTGGATGATCAGGGGTTCTTAATCTATTCTAAGCAGGTCTTATGCAAGGTGCCCACAGTCTCATAGAACCCTCCCCCACCCTCCCCCACCCCTCCCTTGATTATTAAAAAATATTTCAAAAATTGATTTAAAAAAAACAACCCCGATATTCACAATCCACGTTTGAAACAGCCACGACAGGGAGCCCTGATAGGGTATCATGAACTAGGAGGGGGGGTGGGCAGGAGGGAAGATTCAAACTCAGACCTTTTAGGTTGTAGTGGTTCTAACTAGTTACCATACAGCCTCACCCTCTAAAACAAGAGAACTCTGTCCCCACACAGAGGATGTGAGAGGGTCCCACACAGAGATGTGAGAGGGTCCCACACAGGGATGTGAGAGGGTCCCACACAGGGCTGTGAGAGGGTCCCACACAGAGGATGTGAGAGGGTCCCACACAGGGATGTGAGAGGGTCCCACACTGAGGATGCGAGAGGGTCCCACACAGGGATGTGAGAGGGTCCCACACAGAGGATGTGAGAGGGTCCCACACAGAGGATGTGAGATTTTGTGTGGTTTTTTTTTTTAAACTGATGTCATTTTGATGCTGTAAATGATGGATTGGGGGAAAAACTGTCACGGGGATAAATCAACAGCTTTCGCTAGCAAAAATGTCCAAGAAATGAAGTAACAGCTTACGCTGTGAGAAAAAAAAAATCAGAAAAAAATTCACAAATTCAGAAAACAAAATCTAAACTCACATGACAAACTTCACAGAAAAAAAAAAAAAACAAAAAACAAGTCGTACATAGTTTTCAAAGAAATACCAATTTCGCCTAATTAAATTTTATTTTTAAAACTCCATGCACATAAACGATGTGACTTTTTCCTGTGACAAATTCTGGAGACAACAGCTAGTAGGGCTACCACGGGCTTCTTAACGTTGTTAAATTAACGCATGTCATTAACCTACATAAACTTAATTAGCATGTGACCCAGCAGTAGCTCATCAGCCATTATTTGTAAACAATATCATCACCTCTTTGTGTCTAATTATAGAACACTGTTTTAAAAACCTTAGACGGACAACAATGCGAAAGAAATTTTGTATCAGAACTAAAGTTAGAACCTCTCCAGTTCAATTTCATCATTATAGGTGTCCACGCTAATTAACTAACGCGGAACAGTTTGTAATTACATAACGATTTTTTCATCCGATGTAGGGTAATTACACCGGAAATCAATTTTTTGCAATGCTTCGTGGACGGCGTGGCGACGTGGAGATATTTAGTTGGTAAGTGGCCATTGGAAAACACAAATATGACTTAACTGTTGGCCAAGTTAGCAGGTTACTGGCCACAAAAAACAACACAAAGATGACTTAACTGTTGGCCAAGTTAGCAGGTAACTGGTAACAAAAAAACACAAAGATGACTTAAATGCTGGCCAAGTTATCGGGTAGGTGGCCATTGAACAACACAAAGATGACTTAACTATTGGCCAAGTTAGCAGGTAACTGGCCACCAACAAACACAAAGACGACTTACTTGTTGGCCATGGTTGCCTGCTCACGTATGGAGATCAGCTCAGGCATGGTGGGGGTGCAGGGAGGGGGACCCCCTCTGTACTCAGCCTCGTCCTCGTCGTGTCTCGCGCCGGCTGTGACGTCACTTTTCCCATCCCTGTCGGTCAGTAGCCGGCCCGTGTCCGGCGTGTCGAGGCCACTGTCCGGCCCCGACTTGGGCGATTTGGTCAGCGAGGCGGCGCTAGAGGTGGAGCTGGAGGTGGAGCCGGGGCTCTTGTTGGAGCCGCCCCTGCTGCCGTCCTGAGAGCCGGTGGTGGCGAGGCTTGTGGAGCCCGGGCTCTGGTTGTAGGAGTTTCGCTGGAGGATCTTCTGCTCCAGCCAGTTGTAGCGGGGTAACTCCTGCAGGATTCTGGCGGCACTGGACTGGCTCAGGTGCTCGGCTAGCAGATCTGGGGAGGACAGGGGGGACAGTTAGGACATGGGGACAATTAGGACAGGTGGGACATTAGGGACAGTTAGGACATGGGGGACAGTTAGGACAGGTGGGACAGGCGGGGGACAATTAGGACAGTTAGGACATGAGGGACAGTTAGGACATGGGGGACAGGCGGGGGACAATTAGGACAGGTAGGACATGAGGGACAGTTAGGACATGGGGGACAGGCGGGGGACAATTAGGACAGTTAGGACATGAGGGACAGTTAGGACATGGGGGACAGTTAGGACATGGGGGACAGGCGGGGGACAATTAGGACAGTTAGGACATGAGGGACAGTTAGGACATGGGGGACAGGCGGGGGACAATTAGGACAGTTAGGACATGAGGGACAGTTAGGACATGGGGGACAGTTAGGACATGGGGGACAGGCGGGGGACAATTAGGACAGGTAGGACATGAGGGACAATTAGGACAGGTGGGACATTAGGGACAGTTAGGACATGGGGGACAGTTAGGACATGGGGACAATTAGGACAGGTGGGACATTAGGGACAGTTAGGACATGGGGGACAGTTAGGACAGGTGGGACAGGCGGGGGACAATTAGGACAGTTAGGACATGGGGACAATTAGGACAGGTGGGACATTAGGGACAGTTAGGACATGGGGGACAGTTAGGACATGGGGACAATTAGGACAGGTGGGACATTAGGGACAGTTAGGACATGGGGGACAGTTAGGACAGGTGGGACAGGCGGGGGACAATTAGGACAGTTAGGACATGGGGGACAGGCGGGGGACAATTAGGACAGTTAGGACATGAGGGACAGTTAGGACATGGGGGACAGGCGGGGGACAATTAGGACAGTTAGGACATGGGGGACAGGCGGGGGACAATTAGGACAGTTAGGACATGGGGGACAGGCGGGGGACAATTAGGACAGGTAGGACATGAGGGACAATTAGGACAGGTGGGACATTAGGGACAGTTAGGACATGGGGGACAGTTAGGACATGGGGACAATTAGGACAGGTGGGACATTAGGGACAGTTAGGACATGGGGGACAGTTAGGACAGGTGGGACAGGCGGGGGACAATTAGGACAGTTAGGACATGAGGGACAGTTAGGACATGGGGGACAGGCGGGGGACAATTAGGACAGTTAGGACATGAGGGACAGTTAGGACATGGGGGACAGTTAGGACAGGTGGGACAATTGGGACAGGCAGGGGACAATTAGGACATGGGGGACAATTAGGGGGGGACAATTAGGGGGGGACAATTAGGACAGGTAGGGGACAATTAGGGGGGGACAATTAGGACAGGTAGGGGACAATTAGGGGGGGACAATTAGGACAGGTAGGGGGCAATTATTACATGGGGGACAGTTAGGACAGGTAGGGGACGATTGGGACAGGCGGGACATAGAGAAGACAATTAGCGATGACATACAATAGTAAATGTGAAAAGGCGAAAAGTAATTTACAATGAATCACCCAGTTATAAATTTTATTCACATCATCATCTCTTCACAGCACACCAACACAACACACCAACACAACACAACACACCAACACAACACAACACACCAACACAACGCACCAACACAACACACCAACACAACACACCAACACAACACATGACACCAACACAACACAACACACCAACACAACACACCAACACAACACACCAACACACCAACACAACACACCAACAAACCAACACAACACACCAACACAACACAACACACCAACACAACACACCAACACCACACCAACACACCACACCAACACACCAACACACCACACCAACACACCACACCAACACACCACACCAACACACCACACCAACACACCACACCAACACACCACACCAACACACCACACCAACACACCACACCAACACACTTCACCAACACACCACACCAACACACCACACCAACACACTTCACCAACACAACACACCAACACAACACACCACACCAAAACAACACACCAACACAACACACCAACACAACACACCAACACAACACAACACACCAACACAACACCACACCACAACACCACACACCAACACCACACACCAACACAACACACCAACACAACACAACACACCAACACAACACAGCAGACCAACATATCACACCAACACAACACAGCAACACAACACACCAACACAACATCGTAACAAACGCACCAGCATCATACCCTCAACGCACAGCAGCAATTCGGATAATGTAAGGCTACCTTTGAGTAATGTAAGGTTACCCATGAGTAATGTAAGGTTACCTATGAGTAATGTAAGGTGTAAGGTTACCCATGAGTAATTTAAGGCTACCTATGAGTAATGTAAGGCTACCTATGAGTAATGTAAGGCTACCTATGAGTAACGTAAGGCTACCTATGAGTAATGTAAGGCTACCTATGAGTAATGTAAGGCTACCTATGACTGACCTGTGGCTACCCACCAGTTAGGTCAGCGACATACCCCCACAGAGAGAAACCACGCGTACGTACAGGAGAGCAGTTTCCCTTCCCCAGCCACACCCGGCCTGATGGGTTGACTAACGTAACATTTGAACAACCCTAAGTCAAGGAAGTTCGAGACGACCACAGCTGCAGGCGATCACAGATCTACTCATCATCTTTTCAACATAGGATCTCTGCCACGTCAGAAATAAACACGAACGATGGCCAAGATGGGGCCATTATAGGCCAAGACAGAGAGCTTTATGGCCATCGGGAGATCTGATACGACCAGAATCGTTGACATAACTTGCCAGTGGTCAAAATAAGCGGCTGTCTTTATCTGCAGTAGACTTAGTTTGATGGCTTTTAAAAGATTGAACATGATCGTTGTTTATTTCTGTTCTTATGGGAGGGAGAGATGGGGGGGGGGGGGGGGGGCGACGCACGGCCATTTTGTTGTGACGTCATGGAGATTAACAGGCTCTATAAAAGGTATGAAATATACCTGTGCTTTTGTTATTGATGTAAAAAAACACACATTAGGTAGAAAATAGCGCAGATCTAAATCTTCACTATCTTTGTAAACATAAGATGCTAGTTTTCTTAACCCCCAAATAGTTATCGGTTGGATTAAAAATAATAGGATAATTATATATATATATATATATATATATATATATATATATATATATATATATATATATATATATATATATATATATATATATATATATATATATATATATAAAACTATTTGTAATATATACCTAAATATATACATAAAGATGTACATATATATACATATATATCCACGCACGTCTCCTCATACAACGTACCCTACAACAGTGGCGTAGCGAGGTCGGATGTCACTCGGTGCGGCACTTAATGGTGGCACCCCCACCCCCAGAGGCGTAGCGACCCTTCCCGGGGACAAACTTTCAAATTTTCGATATGCAACCCCCTCAAACTTTCGATTTGCACCCCCCCCCCCTCGAACTTTCAATTTGCACCCCCCTCCACTCAAGTTTTTCTCTATATATTTGCTATTTTTGCCTTGGTGTCACCCCCGTAAATGGTGTCACCCGGTGCGGTCCGCACCCCCCGCCCCCTCCCCCTCGCTACGCCTCTGCCCTACAACTACCCCAACAACGACTTGTACCAGCCAACTTACCGAGACAATTTTCATGCACCAAAAAACTCCAAAAATAAAAACAAGCCAGTCCCAGTTGGCACAGACCGTTGCTAATTCCGTCCGTGGATTCAAAATATATTCTAATTTATGTAAATGAGTACATTAATTTTCAATCCTCCGATAAGGCACAGTTTAATTACGATTTTTAAGTGTGTTCTACACCAGCGGTAGGTCTATACAAAGTGTACGCCACATTTCAAGACTGATTACAATATTTTAAAATGCAAAGCCTAATGATGCATGCTGAACTTTGTAACAAACCAAAAATTAAAACAAAACAATGTGGTAGATATGCCGACTTTGTAAAACGTCTATGGTAAAAGACAAATAGATCCATTTGTTAAAGTAAATGATTGCGTACGGCCGATTGACGATTCGCGCATACGTACTTCATTTATTGTCTAATCCGCTATTTCCTCTGTTGTGTGAGATCATCGCGATATAGTGGGTACAGGGACAAGACACAATTTGTGACAATTTGTGACAGAACAAGACACAATTTGTGACAGAACAAGACACAATTTGTGACAGAACAAGACACAATTTGTGACAGAACAAGACACAATTTGTGACAGAACAAGACAGAATTTGTGACAATTTGTGACAGGTCAAGACACAATTTGTGACAGGTCAAGACGTACCTGTTTACCTAGTTTAATCATGTACGCGGTCTGATAACAAAAAGTAAGGTGCTGAATTATGTATGTTACCGATCACGTGACCAACTGCTTGTTCTAAATATAGCTCCAAATATTGAGCTCACTCTTGTCTTTTAGCCATACCCACTAATTTATATTGCTATATCAAGTCAATTTAGCCAAACATACCCACTATATAGCTAAATCAAGTCAATTTAGCTAAACATACCCACTAATGTATATTGCTAAATCAAGTCAATTTAGCTAAACATACCCACTATATAGCTAGATCAAGTCAATTTAGTGAAACAAACCCAGTAATGTATATTGCTATATCAAGTCAATTTAGCTAAACATACCCACTATATAGCTAGATCAAGTATATTTAGCTAAACATACCCACTAATGTATATTGCTAAATCAAGTCAATTTAGCTAAACATACCCACTATATAGCTAGATCAAGTCAATTTAGCTAAACAAACCCACTAATGTTTATAGCTATATCAAGTCAATTTAGCTAAACATACCCACTATATAGCTAGATCAAGTCAATTTAGCTAAACAAACCCACTAATGTTTATAGCTATATCAAGTCAATTTAGCTAAACATACCCACTATATAGCTAGATCAAGTCAATTTAGCTAAACAAACCCACTAATGTTTATAGCTATATCAAGTCAATTTAGCTAAACATACCCACTATATAGCTAGATCAAGTCAATTTAGCTAAACAAACCCACTAATGTTTATAGCTATATCAAGTCAATTTAGCTAAACATACCCACTATATAGCTAGATCAAGTCAATTTAGTGAAACAAACCCAGTAATGTATATTGCTATATCAAGTCAATTTAGCTAAACATACCCACTATATAGCTAGATCAAGTCAATTTAGTGAAACAAACCCAGTAATGTATATAGCTATATTAAGTCAATTTAGCTAAACATACCCACTATATAGCTAGATCAAGTCAATTTAGTGAAACAAACCCAGTAATGTATATTGCTATATCAAGTCAATTTAGCTAAACATACCCACTATCTAGCTAGATCAAGTCAATTTAGTGAAACAAACCCAGTAATGTTTATTGCTATATCAAGTCAATTTAGCTAAACACAACCGTGGACATTTCTATAGCCTGAACTTAACCTTAGACCCTACCATCTCGTTCATGTGTTATCTCAAACACACACTAAACAAATCTTTTAAGTGGATGCAGATAATAATAGACCATTCAAATATGGGTTGCACTAATTATCTTTTCTTAAACCTGACCCAAACTGACCAGTACACAACACACAGATACCTCAAACAACACACACACAAAGACACGTAACACACACACACACGTTGATAAGATCACTTGTTGATAAAATGTAAAGTATGTTTCTATTTAAATGCCCATCATTGTATGCTAATTAACCCGAGAAAATATATGCGCGGTCACACTATCCTGTACTGCACTAACGGTAGAGGGGAGGGGGGCGCAATTGGGTCATAGGTCAATGACGCTACGTCACTTGTCCTTGGGGCATGTGTTTTTTTGTTTCATCATCATTGAGTTGTCATTTTTAGATTACAACTGGCCTCATAATCCGATAGCCCCGCTTCGTGATATATTTAGTCGTGGTGTCTCTTGACTCAGTTTATCATACGTTATAAGTAGGCTAAAGACGTGAGATAAATTATACGGGGTGGGGGCCACAATCATACACTAGTGCATGTCAATTAGCCGTACCATCAGGCCTCTAAGTAAGTTGTGTAATGGTGTCTAAACTTTGGACTTCTTTGACGTTTAAAATGTAATTAATTGTATATTATTCTTACACTTATCTAACTTTTTTAAAATTAATCTTTAACACAGAAAATAATTAACCATAAATCTTATTTTACCGTCTACTCGAACCTAAGCACTAAAGATTTTTTTGTCGACCAAACTGGAGATTCGATTATACGGGAAAACGGCAATAAGTAAAGTCACATGTCACAGATGTAGAATGGTATGTAACGATTAGAGGGTACACACACACACACACACATTATATATATATATATATATATATATATATATATATATATATATATATATATATATATATATATATATATATGGAATCAAATATTTGAATCCTTGTGTGGTGAGATTCACATATATAATCTGACCTACATATTCCATAAGGATTTTGTTTAAGATCGCGACATTGTATTTTGTTTTTGTCTAGCACGGTAAATAAAACAGACATCACGTGCACACCGTTGTTGATACTGATAGCAACAACTTTACACTTAAAATGAGCTATTTTTTTTATTATGAAGAGACAGTGTGGGGGTGGGGGGTATTTAAGTCATATGTAGCGACATCAATAACTGCAACCTTCCCCCCCCCCCCCCAGCTAAACCAGGTACACGAATAAATGACGTACTCATTGGGACAATCATGCATTACCTTGTTGGGAGCTACAAGTCCTGTGATGTTAACACAATGCTGGTCAGTCCACAACCAAAACTGTAATAGTATTACCGCGTGACATCAAATCTCCACCAAATCCACTGTCAGTATCCCACGTGACATCAAATCGCCACCAAATCCACTGTCAGTATCCCACGTGACATCAAAAATCCACCAAATCCACTGTCAGTATCCCACGTGACATCAAAGCTCCACCAAATCCACTGTCAGTATCCCACGTGACACCAAAGCTCCACCAAATCCACTGTCAGTATCCCACGTGACAACAAAGCTCCACCAAATCCACTGTCAGTATCACAACTAACACCACGAACAGCCACAAACTCGCGCCACCACATATAACACCATCAGCAAACACAACACATCCTAGCGAGTGGTTAGATCCACACAGAAACACGAATATCCCATACTGAAACACGAATATCCCACCTGGAAACAGCAATATCCCGAACACAAATATCCCAAGTCCCTCCCAGTCAACACTACCCGCCAGCAGACGAGGCGACAAGAGCCAGCAGACGACCAGCGAACGAGCGTGTCGCGAAGATCAAGACCCAGCCACGCTAAATATGGCTTCTCATAAAATGAGGTCACAATTCGAATATAATACCCCAAGTGGGCAGAATCGATTACATACTGTTTTGCGCGTGGTAGACATGAAGGGAATCAACGATAGGGAAAAATCATGCAAATGTCCACATTAATGCTGAATAAATCTACATAATCGAACTGGTTTGAATTGTAAATTTAATTGAAACTAAAATATGGAGGGTAACAAAAAAAAGATGAATTTTCAAGGATGGAAATGACCAATGGCCATCTGAGGATATGTCCCAACGTAAAGTGGTTCAACGTAATCACAGGATACGGTGGGCTTCTAATAAGACTCGGCTTTTTTTTGTATTCGATTTTTTTGAGATCGGAGAATGAATTGTTTGTTGAGGGCATGTGTCCAGCCAAAAAAATTATTACACAGATAATTTGAATAATTATAATCAGTTGGGATGCGGCTCTGTCAAAATTGTCATGTGGCTCACGAGCCAGGAAATGTGTGGTGAAATGGCTCCTGTGGCTAGCAGTCTGTGTGGAGCCACTGGGCAGTTATTACATGTAAGCTTACATCCATAGACATAGAGGTAGACATTTTATTGTGAAAAGATGGGGGCGGGGGGGGGGGGGGGGGGAAACGGGGTGCAGTTTGACACCTTCCACCCCCCCCCCCAAGACACACTACGATGCTCTCTGATGCCCCACCCCACACACGCAGACACAATGGTACACACATGCTACTTGATTCATTAAAATACCCACACAATCCCCATTCTCCACAAAAAATATATCCACACAAACCAAATTATCCACACCCCACCCTCCACACCAACCCCACCCTCAACACCAACCCCACTCTCCACACCAACCCCATTCTCCACACCAACCCCACTTTCCACACCAACCCCACTCTGCCCACCAAACCCACCAACCACACTCTCCACACCAACCCCACCTCCACACCGACCACACCATCCACACAAACCACTCCCCACACCACCCCCATCTCCACACCAACCCCACCTCCACGCCAACCACACCATCCACACAAACCACTCCCCACACCAACCCCACTCTGCCCACCAAACCCACCAACCACACCAACCCCACCCTCCACACCAACCCCACCTCCACACAAACCACTCCCCACACCACCCCCATCTCCACACCAACCACACCAACCCCACTCTCCACACCAACCCCACCTCCACACAAACCACTCCCCACACCAACCCTACTCTGCCCACCAAACCCACCAACCACACTCCACACCAAGCCCACCCTCCACACCAAGCCCACCCTCCACACCAAACACACCAACCCCACCAACCACTCTCCACACCAACCCAACCCTCCACACCAAGCCCACCCTCCACACCAAACCCACTAACCCCACCTCAACACCAACCACTCTCCACACCAACCACACCCTCCACACCAACCACACCCTCCACACAAACCACTCCCCACACCACACCCCCCCCCCACATTGAGCACTGACCTGGCGACTCTGGTTTAGCCACACCAGCCACAGCAGTTGTGTCCACCTGTTTCCTGCGCCGCTTCGGTGCGCAACTTCCGGTAACCTCACCCGATTCTGTGCAACACAAAAAGAAACTTAATTAATTAATTCGCCATCTGGGATCATCCTACAATTACATGCATTAATTAAAGCATGTGTAATTACTCTCCTATAAAATTAACGAGTCGCTTAAACCATAAACCAACCCATCCAAAACACACCACGAACGAGTCGCAAATTTTTTTCTTATCTAAATAGCGGTCGCTGTAAATAAATTAAAAAAAAATAAAAAAAATAATTGATTTGTGAAATGTCGAAAAGAAATGCAGCGAAATCCCAAGTTGGTTAATTTGAGCGTCATAATTTGTAGTTTTAAAAAAAAAAGTGTTGCCGAATTATCAATCTAAAATTAGAATCGTGAGTTTTGTTATGGTTTCTGATCACGTGACTTTTTGTGCCGCATTAAACTCGTGGACACACACGCTGTCTCAATAGCAGTGGATCATCCTGACGGTCACGTGACCTATGGGGACAACCCCCAACCCCAACCCGGGTTGTCTGTACAGAAGAAGGATCCAGAAGATGGATGATCTAAGAAAGTCGTAAACGAGAAATACCCCCTCCCATCCGGAAGGCGTCACCACCAGATCACGATAAGCAGACGTATATATATGGAGGGGGGGGGGGGGAGGGGGGAGATTCGTTACATTAACATACAATTTGTATTTAAATAAAATGAAAAAGTCATCGTTATGAGATGTTAGCTAGATGTGGAATATAAAACCGACATCAAACGTATGTTTTGCTGTCATAAATTTATCACGATCAAACGTATGCGTTTGACAGAAGATCAAACAGCCCGTATGCCATATTGGACAAAAACTCAGATGATGGTTTATGTAGTTCAGCTGAAGAATTTAATGCACTACATTATCATAATATGAATTTTAAAACGGCGCGTTGAAATATTATGATAAAAAAAAAGGGAAATTCATTCGGCGCACTGTCATCTGTTTGAAATTTTGAATAACAAGGTGAAAATTTCATCGAAGTTATGTAAATTTCTAATTAGCCCAGGGCAGTTGGTATTCTGTCGATTAGGACTGCTCAAAGCCAATGACATCTCGTAATCCAGGGGATTTCGGAAGTGACATTTAATTAATGTGAAATGTTAATTAATTTTCGGTGAGGTGAGTTAGTGATAAGGATAAAAGCATTGAGATTATGTATTGAGATTATGTGTTGGGATTATGTGTTGGGATTATGTGTTGGGATTATATGATGGGATTATGTGATGGGATTATGTCAAAAACTTGTCTAGGTGAAACATATGAAACAAATGGGTGGCTGGGTTTTATATTTCCAATTTGTGCATGTTAGGAGCAGCATATGTTGTGGATTATTGGTCGGTGTGGTTTTTGTGTGTGTGGTTTGGTATGTGTGGTTTGTTGTGTGTGGTTTGTGTGTGTGGTTTATTGCGTGTGGTTTGGTCTGTGTGGTTTGGTCTGTGTGGTTTGGTCTGTGTGGTTTGGTCTGTGTGGTTTGGTCTGTGTGGTTTGGTCTGTGTGGTTTGGTCTGTGTGGTTTGGTGTGTGTGGTTTTGTCTGTAGACCAGCATATCCCTGTAGACCACCATATCCCACATCCCACTAGCCACCATTAACCATCCGCTTTACCACCAATCCACTAGCTGTATCCAAGTGTATAATTTAAACTAATTTTGTGTGCATTTGATCTTTGATCTAGCACATTTTAATGCCTGTATTTAATAACAAACCGTGGGCACGTGCGGATTAGAAAAAAAAATGCCAAATTGCAACCACAAACTTACAAAAATATGTGTATATGTTGACTTCATAATTTTATTTTTTAAAGGGCCTCTTAAACTGGCAATAGCTAAAAAAAACTTTGAAATTCGACGCCCACTCAAATAACGGGCTTTAATTTGTTCTGTAAAAAGATACTACACAAGTGCAGATAGATTTGAAACCAATAAATGTAACTTCGACCGACTTTGTTTTTATTTTAAGTCTAACTTGTATGTTAATTGGACAGCAGGTGTCCACAAAATGATATTCGGTTTTCACAGTGCAGTTGGGGTTTTCAATAGGTGTCTCGTTTTTAGCCCAAAACTTAAACATTGGCAATTCTAGAGCCAGTTTATAACGCCTTACATATTTTCCAAAAAACTATTACATTTTCAAAGACCACCGACATTTTCAAAGACCACCGACATTTTCAAAGACCACCGACATTTTCAAAGACCACCGACATTTTCAAAGACCACCGACAATTTCAAAGACTACCGACATTTTCAAAGACCACCGACATTTTCAAAGACCACCGACATTTTCAAAGACCACCGACATTTTCAAAGACTACCGACATTTTCAAAGACCACCGACAATTTCAAAGACTACCGACATTTTCAAAGACCACCGACATTTTCAAAGACCACCGACATTTTCAAAGACCACCGACATTTTCAAAGACCACCGACAATTTCAAAGACTACCGACATTTTCAAAGACCACCGACATTTTCAAAGACTACCGACATTTTCAAAGACCACCGACATTTTCAAAGACCACCGACATTTTCAAAGACCACCGACATTTTCAAAGACCACCGACATTTTCAAAGACCACCGACAATTTCAAAGACTACCGACATTTTCAAAGACCACCGACATTTTCAAAGACGACATGCCCGAAGACAAATTTTTCATACGCTTCGACGAATATTTTGCAAGTATGTTAGCCAGTACTATTTCCATCTCAAGTATTCTGATAGAGTGAGATGATTGAGGATCGTATGATGATTGAGGATCGTGTGATGATTGAGGACCGTGATGATTGAGGATTGTGTGGCGATTGAGGATTGTGTGGTGATTGCGGATTGTGTGGTGATTGAGGATTATATGATGATTGCGGATTGTGTGGTGATTGAGGATTACATGATGATTGCGGATTGTGTGGTGATTGAGGATTATGTGATGATTGAGGATTGTGTTATGACTGAGGATTGTGATGATTGAGGATTGTGTGGTGATTGCGGATTGTGTGGTGATTGCGGATTGTGTGGTGATTGAGGATTGTGTGGTGATTGCGGATTGTGTGGTGATTGAGGATTGTGTGGTGATTAAGGATTGTGTTATGACTGAGGATTGTGAAGATTGAGGATTGTGTGGTGATTGAGGATTGTGTGATGATTGAGGATTGTGTGTTCTTTAGACTACACCTCTGGGAACCGCTGCTGACCACCGTTGATTATGTTGAGACGAGTGTGTATGTAGATAAGACAAATATGCAAATTATTTTGTGTGAGAGTGTGAGTGGTCGAGTTGTTAGACCATTCGGTGAATGTTGAGCTTGGCTTCAGGTTGTGTAGCTGTGTGGTTGTGTGGTTAGTAGTGTGTTGGTGTGTGGTTAGGTGTGTTACTGTGTAGTTAGGTTTGTATTG